TGACTTCTGCATTGCCAATGATGACGTACATGTTGAAGATGATGATGATATTTCGACTTTTGAAAGCAGCATGGGTGTTCGGCGACGGATTGATTTTATCCTTTGCAGTCGTTGTTTTCATTCGGTGTTTGGGCACGCGAGTTCGTTTCTGGGCGTGGGTTCGGATCATTGGGCAGCGACTTCTTGTCTCCAATTCAGACTGCGCAAACCAACAAAACAAAATCGTTCCAAAACAAAACGGTCGGAACAATTTGTGGGAACGATTTTGTTTTGTACCATACACGTCTATCACATATGCTCTCAAGTCGATGGCCCGTCAATATGGTTGATCTTTTTTGAAAATCTTGTCTTGGAGGCATCCTTGCAACCTTCGGTTCACAACATTGATGGCCAGCATTGTCAATGACACCGTGCTGACAACCCGTGGCGCAAACCTGATTTTCATTCCCTTTTGCAACAACGGAAAATTTCAGCCAACTGCGATGAGAGAACGTGTTTGTCAAAACAGTGTGATATCTTGACGTGGATGGCGGCCACCCGTAGCGCCACCCATTTGACTGTGTATCAAAAGACCTTGATACCGGTAGGTCATAACCATGTCAAGAACTGGAAAACAGTTAGCTGTCAATAAAAAGGCCAAAAGGATTCTGCAGGATGAACCTCCATGGATATTTTAACATATTTTAACTGTAACCAACGCCAGGAGGCATGCGATCATCCAAACTAAAATGGGGTTTGAAGGCGTGCGAGGTCTGTTCAAAATGTCTGGCACACATGGGCACTCCCATATCTCATGTTGCATAGTTGCATTTGTCCACAAGGACAAGTGATAGGCAAACTAGTGCGGTTATGGAGACTGGTTTGCGATACATAGCCACCGGTCATGGTGGCAAAAGCGTGGGCATTGTCCGAAGAGAGCTTACGAGTTGCTTGACAAGACATCTCCGAGTAAGGTACTTCACGGCACATACCTCCGTCGTTGCGATTGGTGTCCTGCCACTTGTTGTAGCAGAAAGCAGCACGGAAACCCTTGCGCAAGCGATGGGATAGCAAATCAGCGTCAAGCATGGCTGCGGAATTGTTAGGGTCAAGGGAAATGGTTTTACAAAATTTTACAAGCATCAGATTGCTGCCATGTCCAAGGGCCAGTCTGAAGCCACCCAATACAGGAGAATTGGGTCGATAAAGAGGAACCTGAAACACCAAGTTTAGTCCATGCAGACAGTTGGCGGTGCTGCGCGCATAAGCCTGCTTAAAGATTATGGCCTCTAAGGATGCCGCGCGAAAAAATACAAGAGCGCTTAGGCTCGTCCAAGGTTTTTTTTTGGCAATCTGTCACATATTGCATATTTTTCAGAACAAATTCGGTATGTTTTTGGTAAACGTTTGAGGGTTGGGCGGAACAGAAGAGTTAAACAAATACTGGATGAATTTTGGAGCTTGAATCGATAGGAGAACGTTTACCGTGACCCAATTAATTTTCAAAAGAAATTGGGTACAATCTTTCAACCTCAAGAATTTGCAACGTTTTTGAGTAAAATATTCCAATCCGACTTGAGGCGTAACACGCCGACTCTGCGAAGGCTGGGTGCTTCAGCAGACGTTCGTGGTTTCCAGGACATTCTTTGTTTTCAGATTGAAAAACTTCAAGGCGCGCAGATGTTTTCTAGGAAAGTTTGGGGGCGTGGATGGTGTAGTAGTTGGAATGTTCAAATATGGAAATGCTGCTTTACATTCATGCCTATGAATATTTGCAACAGTATGGTGGCCGGAATCGTGGCAACACACTCTTTTTTAGATGATACCAGCAGCTGGAGACACCACTGCTCCTAAAAATTGGAAACCGAATTCGCACCATTGTGGATGGGCAACGGGGCAAGGACCAAACGTGTTTTAGGCTACCTACTGGTATTGAAGACGTTTTTATAATATTTGAATGTATTTGTGGCAAAAATCTGGAATGGAATGCGCCTCTATGTTTGCAAGCGTGGATTTAACTAAAATATTCAACCGGGTTGAGTATGATCCTTCGTTCGGTGCGCTGTTGGATCAGGGGGTGCCAACCTCTTATTGTTCATTACTTTGGACCTTGTATCAGCACCAGCAAGGAACACCTTGTCATGGGCCTTCATTTTCAATCGAACGTGAGGTGAAACAGGGCGATGTCATCAGCCCTGTTCTTGTCAACGCCGCTTTGGAAGCAGCAGTGCGCAAATAGAAATTTCATTTGAACCATCATGGTGTTGATATTGGAGCTGGCGAAAAGATTGCTAACATTCGGTACGCTGCCTTGTTGGTGTATGCTCAGGCTGTGGATGACTTAGTCCAAATGATTGAACTGTTGATGGTGGAACTGAGAAACATGGGCTTGCAATGAACCCCGTCAAAAATACGAATTCTTAACGACGACCGTTTTGGACACACCTTTGCATGTGGAAATTGGGAATGATTTTGCGGAAGTGCTTCATGACGCTTGCACACACAAATGTTTAGGCTGAATTTTCACCGGGAATTTTCCTACAAGAATTGAAGCTGAATTTGCTCATTGTTTACGGGTGGTTTGGGTAAAATTTCATAAACACAGGGAAACCTTGATCAACAAACATGTTTCTTTGAAGTTGCGGCTGAAATATCTTAATGCGATGATTTCTCCCACTATCCTTTTCGGATTGTCGTCGTTGCTGAACGTGGTGCAGCGCAGGATGCTTTGGTCAATTGTGGGGTGGGTTGTTGTGAGCGAGGATGATTGGGGAGACACAATGAAACGCATGAATGACAGATTGCAGTCGGCTACGTCATTACACCAAATAAGTCCTTGGAGCGTTTCGCTTTTCAGACGACAGTTCCAGTACTTGTGGCATCTGGTAAACAACCCAGAAGGATGGCCGCTTATTCAACAAAATGGAATCCCTGCAACAACTGGTTCAACAACTTTTCTTTCTCACCATGCCGAAGACGTGGACGCCCACACCAAAGATGGGACGACAATTTGCACAAATTTGTTCAATCCGAATTTCAACAATCATCATGGTTTGAGTTTGCTCGAGGTCACGCATGTTGGATCACGTTTGAAGAGCGGTATGTTGACTTTTGTCAATTTTTGTATTCATTGTAGTTTGCACTTGGTTGCTTTTGAATTTGTTTGTGTTTCCCGTGTCCTGAAAGGACCGTAGTCATATTCGTGACTCGCACGAGCGAAAGCGAAAGCGAAAACTTTGCCCGGCACTGGTTGCACAGCAGCCGTGCTGCTTTGCAAACAATGACGCGGTAGGATTTTTGGAAAATTATCCGTGTGGGAACTCATGGTTCTCTCCAGATTAGGGGTTTGTGAGCGCACAGATCTGAAGAATAAGGAAAAATGATCCCCACAAACGTTTGAAATTACAAATGCAAAAATCAAAGTGCCAAAACAAGCGGCCCATCAAATACACAATTGCGTGTTATGAAATTCAATAATTTTTACAAACCAATGCCGCCGTTTTTTTTCCATCCAATTTTTCACATTGAACTGAACGTGAGTCCCTGGTGCCAAAGAAAGAATTAAATGTAAGTCCTTAGTACTAGAGTAAGGAAACCCCCGCGATCATAGTACCGAAACGGGGGCCGAAAATTGGCAAAGTATTCCCGGTTTCGGCCGCAACTTGTGTCAAAGTTCGATATTCGTAGCAAACATGGAACTTGCCACGGGGCATCTCCTGTGATCAGCGTGGAAATGCCCAGCACCCAACTGCGGTTTGTTTGGGTACATGAGGGTCTTCATGCACAATTTGTAAGCATGCCAGCTGCTGCATCAGCAGCCATGTGGTGCGGGTTTCAACGGTATTTTGTTGTGTGCCCCCAGCACTTGTATCAACGACGGTGTGCGACATTGTTCCAAACATGGTCCATTGTGCGTGTATTGGTGCGGACATACGCGGACAACCATTAGCAATTTCGGGAATTATGATAATTTAGAAAAAAAACATTGTCACAGTGATGCTTTGCAATTTTATTTTTTTAATCAGCGAAGTGCCAAAAAATAAATACTGAATGGTAAACTTGCGTGCCGCGCACGTGCTTGCGGATTTTTTAAAGCTGCAACGAAACAATGGCCACGATCGTGAACCACACCGTCACATTGTTGGTGGTGATCCCTAAGTGAGTCACTTGTGAAGTTTTGACGCTTGAATGACGCCATGGCGGCATTTCCACTAGCATTTGTCAGACTGTGGAATCACATGGGTTTGACTGTGGAACCACATGGGTTCGAAACAAGTTCTAGTGACATCCAAAAAACTCAACAACCTGGCCTTGTCGTGATGTTATTCATCTACTCAACGATGAGCACGTGTGACAAAAAGGCCGTCGTTTTTTTTGACAACATAACAACGTCTGTCAACTTGTACTGCGACAGGTATGAGACAAACTGGACGCAAACGCTAATTGTTTTCGTCCTTTTCGTTTCCTTGGGCAGCATTGCGCTACAGAAATTGCAAACCGTGTGGCGGATTTATTGGGAGAACAGTTGGTGAAGATCCTTTTGACGAATCATTTCGGCCACTTCGCTGGTAAATTGGTACTTGAAAAACGTTTTTGTGCAACTTTCCCTCGCAGACTGTAAGATCGTGGGCATCGGTTGTTCGTGGGGGATTTTTATTTGTGTCCTGCTGTAAAACATAGAAATACAAACATGCGTGTCACAGTTTGTGAAAAGCATATCGGGGGGTACTTTGCATTTGCACATGACAATTAATTCTTGACATTGACATGCAATGTTGGCTGAACTAAATTGCTTAAAGCGTTGGGACACCATTGTAGTGCTGTTTTGCAAACATGAGCGCGGAACACCTTTTCTGGGCCAATTGTTCCTGGGACCGAGAAAAAATGAACATTTGGTTTGTTCATTGGCATGACGAACCAACTTAACACAGGCAATGGTCACTTCACACAAACTATCCACATAGGTTGGTGGTTAGGTGACCACAGCTTTATCGACGAATCGTTGGATCCATCCGTCGAAATGGGGGGTCGTGATTGCATTGATGGAGGCGCCAGCAATCCTGATGACGGTTGGATAGGTCCAAATGCGTTCAAGGTTCCCACGAGTTCGATTGATGATCATATTATGTCTTTTCTTGCCTCAATAATTTTTTTTTTAGTATCAATGAACGTAGATGTGTTTTTGCCTTCCGCCTTTTTGATTTGAACGTGTTGGGGACCTGGAGATGCTGCAAGGCGGACCTGAACGTCCCCAAGTTGGAACGGTCATTGTCACAGGCCAGAGGGTGGTCCAACCAGCAAAACCGTCGCAGCAAAATGGAGGTTGGTCATCCGAAAATGGAAAATTCAATTTCCCAATTTATTGGCATCTTTCACCGCCATGGCCATGATCGTGAACCTAAGATATTTTGGGGGTGGTCATGTGAAATGCCTAGCAAGGTGTGACAGCGTCCTGGAACAGAGTGAAAAACTGGCAGCCTCGGAACTGGAAAAGGCACCCAGTTGCTTACAAATGTTTGGTGGCATGTGTGCGTACCTTCTGAACAGATGTGAAATTGTTACTTTCTAGCGGGGGGACGTGGCATACAATCAGGGACCACGTCCAAAGATGATGAGCTGTGCGTACCTGCTCCAATTTTCTCTTTCGTAATGCAAGCAACCAAGCCCAGAACCACCAAGTCGAAGGCTCTTTTGTCACAGATTTCATCTTATTTGCAACCAATGCTTGAGGTTTCAGTCTTATGGACGGCACGTTTGCCGTAATCGGGTTTTACTTGCGACAAGTCGTTCATCAGGATCATCAGAAGGCAACACAGTGGAAGGATGAATCAATGAAAACAGAAGCGGAAGGATCCAAACGTCTAATCCTGTGACGTCTCCCTCCTTTCTTTTGCAGCTGTTGTTTTGCACGGATGATACATTCCAACATCCCGATTCGAAACGTTGTTCTTAGCCTTTGTTTGTTTGTTTGTTTTTTTTGTTTGTTTGTTTGTGTGTGAGTGAACAAGGTAGATCTCTTCACAATCTTGTCTAACATGGACAATTTTGATAAAACATGACATTTTGGGAGTCAGCCAGGCCCATCCACCGAATGGTTTTCACAACAAGTACATGCGCGCCCAGGGCTGCACTGACCGCCGTGGAGCCGGCCGAAAAAATGCCCCAAGTTCACCCGCATCATCAATGCCAGCACTGCAGGGAAAGGACGGGGATGATGGCACTAAGGGCAAGGGATATAAAAACGTGGGCATTGAGAAAAATAGAAGCTCTTCACTCTTCATACATAATTTCCCGGAGGTCTAACTCTTCGGTGCACTTGAGGGTTGCTACCCAAAATTTGACGATAATTGTTAATTATTAAATTTTGTAAACCATGCTAAAGATGGTGATTTTGTAAACAATGCAATAACAGGGTTGAGGTTTTGGACAATGCCGGCGTCTCATGGGGGAAGTTGCGGCCGATTTCCTGTTGGAATTCATAGGATGCCAGGCAAACGGACATGAATGTGTCTTGTTGGTGCCCCACAATCAGATCCGTGTCATTGTAATGTGTCGACGTTTGCCGTCAGGGCAGCACCAATGCATTCACGGAGACAGTCAAAGGACGGGAAGGATTGAAAGAGGGGAAGGCAATGGCCTGGACACGTGGGCCATGCAAAGGGTATTTGTGGGTATTATATATATATATATATTGTAACTCTTGATGGACATCTTTACGAACAAACCAGCAGAAGGAAATTCAGTTTTTAGACTTTCCGGCGCTGATCACACGCCCTTGCGTTCATCCTTTCTCCTCAACACATCTAGCGGGTTTGTTTTTGAGGTGCCGTGCTTAAACCGCAACTATGTCCAGAACCAACTTACTGAAACCATTCTACGCTTTTCTGCCCCATCCTCCAATGGTTCCCGCAAAAAAAGGGACGCGCTCTAGGATTGTGGGCAACTTAGGCAATTTCATGATGTATCGGAGTTCTTCACCTCTCCCAGAGTCTAACACCTAGGACCTAGATTGGAACAGCATTTTATAGAGAACTTCTGGGTTGTTGCACGATATCGCGCTGCGTGTCTTCGCACATGCGTCGCCAGCAGAGAAGCATTTCACAGAGATGACGGAGAGGTCATTTCATGGAGGTTCCCACCTGCTTTCTGGATGTTGGCTGACGGAGGACCATCTTATAGCCAATTTTCTAAATAAAATGTTCCGTAAAGCATCCTAGGGCACAAGTAAGAGGTATTATAATTAAATTTGTTGATATTGATTTACTTTTTATTGAAACTTTTACGAATAAATTAAATTAAATTTTTGTTTTTGCTTGTATAACGCGCACACAGGCGTAAATGCACACGTGCATGCATACATGCAGGCGTCCCTACAAAATCATACATATACATACGCATAGGCATACAGGTACACATATATACACATACGCATGCGCATACACATACACACACACACACACTAAACAAGAATGGATCATTATATGATCCGGCAGGAACTGAATCCTGAAACATGCAGATTAGATATGAAACAACGAAATTAACGATGCACCCTACGAATAATGGAAGTTCTCCTGAATGGTTTCGGCGAAATAATCCAGAAAATCAAAATTACAATCGGCGACGAGGTTTCGGCGAAATTCAAGAAGGAAGTTTCTGATGCAGCAGAACTAATCATAAATGACCAAAATTGATTCCAGATTGCGACAACAGTGCGGCAAATTGTGTAACATGGTGGTTGGGGTTCTGAGCTTGGCCCCTTGCTATTCCGAAAAAATTCGAACTGCAGGTACGTCACCAGGCGTCCCTGGTGATATCCTAGGATCATATGAGGAGCTTCGTTGGATGGAGCCTCATATGTCCTCTCCATCCCCCTGCGTTGAATTAAGCATTAGAAAGAGAGAGGACAAAGGAAGAAAAAGAGAGAGAAATTTTACATCTATTTAGATGTTACACACACACACACCCGGCCAGAGCCGGGTCAACCCTGAAAGGCAAGAGGAAGAAAAAAGCGGACACACGACGGGCAAACGGCCAAAAACTGCGCAGGGGGGGGAGGGGAACAGACGGACCTCCGGAACCAACCTACACGGCGAAACGGACCTGACAAAAACAGCGCACACACCTAAACCCCACGACACATTACGGAGAGGCACGCGGGGAAAATTAGGGACCAAATGGGGGACTAGTTAATGACAGGTAAAAAACCAAAACAATTAATTAAACAACAGGATTCAGTCCCTAGATTCCTAAGAGTCGTGCGATTATTCCCTGCACCGGGACCGTGGTCAAGTCGTGCCTCAAAAGGCATAAAACGGCTTTCAAGTTCCATCGAATTAGATGCACAAAATGTTTGACCTCACCAGACAACCATCAAAAGAAAGAGACACCACACCTGAAAGTCGTGAGCCTACCTGGTACTTGTATCATGACGTGATGCAATGTAGCTGCAAAAGTAGCTGCAAAAAACGGAGGTTTGTGGTTGTTCAGCACGGCATCACGAGGAAGAATGCATCTCTCAAGGTTCACAGGGACCACAGGAGCAGCAGGACATCTCCAAATGGCTGAAAAACCGCAAGGCCAACTGTTTCAATTTACTTGAATGAATTACCAAATTAAAATGTGTTAATTCGGATGTCAAGACGGTCAGCACTCACCCTAAAAAGGGTTGCCTGCTCCATGGCACCATGTCGGAGCCACCATGGAAATCACACTAGACAAGAATGGATCATTATATGATCCGGCAGGAACTGAATCCTGAAACATGCGGATTAGATATGAAACAACGAAATTAACGATGCACCCTACGAATAATGGAAGTTCTCCTGAATGGTTTCGGCGAAATAATCCAGAAAATCAAAATTACAATCGGCGACGAGGTTTCGGCGAAATTCAAGAAGGAAGTTTCTGATGCAGCAGAACTAATCATAAATGACCAAAATTGATTCCAGATCGCGACAACAGTGCAGCAAATTGTGTAACATGGTGGTTGGGGTTCTGAGCTTGGCCCCTTGCTATTCCGAAAAAATTCGAACTGCAGGTACGTCACCAGGCGTCCCTGGTGATATCCTAGGATCATATGAGGAGCTTCGTTGGATGGAGCCTCATATGTCCTCTCCATCCCCCTGCATTGAATTAAGCATTAGAAAGCGAGAGGACAAAGGAAGAAAAAGAGAGAGAAGTTTTACATCTATTTAGATGTTACACACACACACATATATCTCTTACTGTTGCGTGGCTTTCAGATGCAATCTGTTTCCATCCCCCGTCGAGGAGTGGGTCCTGGTGCAGCAGCGTTGTTTCTCCGAACTACGATCCGGCATGGGAGGGAAAACCGGCGAACAAGTAACTAGACCATCGGACCCGCTGAATGAAGTCGCGCAACTTATGGATTCAGAAACAGACTTTGGTTTCGGCTTCACGCTGGTTCCGTTCGTCATGTGGAAATTAACCGAATATTTGGCATCTTCACTTTTAGTCCCGGCGGTGTTTTTGCCAACAGTTGTAGGGCGTTTGAAAACTTGACCTTTCCTTTGTCAAGGTTCCTTCTGCTTTCTGCATTTTTCGGTGATGAAATGGTCAATCTTCCCAAAAGTCGATGTTTATGGACGACATAGGTTTGGTATTGGATCTATTCAGGACTTGGGGTGTCACAAATGTATTCATTATATAAGGAACCGACCAAACCTGTGGCCGAGGTTTGCGACCAAGGCCTTCAAAGCCATGTCGCAAGAAGAAAAACTCAAGACTTTCCTGGAACTTGAACTCCACAAGGTCCATTTGGTGCCTGAGGCAAGGGGACCTTGGGGACAGTGCTTTAAGAGATAGGTTTGAGAATCCAATTTACGAACAAACATCGGGAAATGGCGAACTTTCGCGGGTTAGATTACCAAACATGACACTCTAAAGTATGGCAAATTTACTTGCTGGGAAATACTACCTATTAAATACAGGGTCATTTGCCATTGGATTTGAGTCAGAAAGGCAATTCTTGGGTGGTTTTCCTTGGGCTTATTGTACCTGCTTGGAAGCTTTCGAGTGGGCCTAGGACATTGCAATTTCTGGCTACTCTTTTCCATTCTTTTCCAGAGATTTTTTTTGGTTCCGAGGTCCGAGATGTGTTTTCCAAAAACTTTTGTCAGGGAAAGAAGCGAAGAACTGGGCCTGGGCCCGACCATTATCAAGGCCAGGTTCCATCACAGCTGTGGTTTTGATACGGAGAATAAGGGGATGGGTCAAAACCTGCCATACTAATCGCGGGATTGATATCGACTATACCAGCCGTTAGTGTAAAAACTAACTAGTCGCTGCTAAAACAACATCAGTTCCGATTGAGCGATCATGATCAGCATGTTGTGGAGAAAGCCACGAAACACTCAGATGTTGATGGACGGGTTTGTCTGAACATAAGTACCCCAAAGCCTCTTGTTTACCATCGTTTTCCCCTTTGGAATAGGCATAAATTTCCGGTTAACCGCCCAGTTTTGGACAAACCTTGCTAATTAATTGCAAGTCACACAAACCTGGAAACATTCTCTCGGCCCCGCAGGGCCTGAAACCACCAAAGAAGAAAAAATCCAACTGCTCTCTCCAGCGGAGATGTTCCTTGCAAGAGTTGGCATGCCAATGAGCTGACTTGGAAATTCTATGGTCAAAAAAATGAGATGGATCCAGTGCCATGATTTTCCAGTGCTGCCTGGCATGAGACCGTCTTGAGAGGCAATGACAATTCATAAGTACCAGCTGTTTTGATGTGAAAACCAAGGCATCTTTGAGGGATTTGGACCCATAGCCACTAAGTCGCCATGTTCTGCAGCAAAATGGTCGCAACATAGCAACTTCAATGAGTAGAATAGTTATTTGTTTTCAAAATCATTTGGGGCATCCACTTTCGTGGGCAAATCTACATGTATATTATATATATATATATGTATATATTAAATTATATGTATGTAATGTAATGTAGTGTAGTTTAGTTTAGTGTAGTGTAGTGTAATGCAATCAATGCAATACAATGCAAAGCAATGCAATGCAATGCAATGCATGCATGTATGTGTGTATATGTATATATGCGATAATACAGTATCTGGTATCCATAGTATAAAACACGTATATACAGATACATCCATTCATTCCATCTCCCAAACTGTTTGAGGTTTGCCGCCGATGCCTTCTTGGAGGTTGGCGGCTTCAGTGCTTTGAACCACGGCAGCCAGGCAGCTGGTCACGGGCTGTAACGAGCGATGGGCACATCGACCGGTGAAGGACTTGTGTTCTGGTGCAGGGGTAGAGAAGATCACATTTTTTTAAAAGGTTCACCATGAAATGTTGAGTTGTTGGCTGGTTCAGTTGTTTGATCGAGGAGCTTGATGACATCACACTCATCTTTTTCACCAAGACTTTGGATGATGATCACCTGCATTGGGGAAAACCCATGAACATCCATGAACAATAAGGACCAAAAATGTCGGGGCTCCACCCAAACTATATAGTTAATCCATCTGAGCAGCCCCTGTTCGTTGTAGGGGCTTATACTGCTCACTTACTGGGAACATCAAAACCCGCTTTGGTAGTCCCGTTCTTAACCACCTATATAGTATTCATGGAATGACATTTCAGGTTTTGAACAATGCTCATCTGCTTCTAAACTGCTTGGTGGTTTTAACATGTTTCACATATTTGTCATGTTCAAAGCTAGAAATTTAGAAACGGGAGATGACCCAATGACGAGCATTCATGGCATCCGTTTAGTGGAAATCATTGGGCATCCATGGTCAGGCTTGGGCCTTCACCAAGAAGCCGCCCAAACCATTGCCCATGAAGCAGGTGCAACAAGGTATGAATTATATAATACTGCCCTTTTTGGATTCAATGAGTTGGACAAAGGTGTAAAGTGTAAAGCACGGCAAGGCAATGGACACCCAAGGTTTACATAGATCCGAGATGGTTGAACATGGATCAGTCCGAAACTCGTTACGTAGACATCATCCATGACATCTGGGGGAAGCTTTTCTATTCCTTACAGATGTTTCCCTGACCTGGTGCAGAGCTGCCAGGTGTGCAATGGTTTGAGGCACCTCAGACACGAGGACAGCACCAGGGGACTCCCAACTTCCCGATCCATGCGCGCAGAGTCTGAACTTTTGCAAGGAGATGTCCGGCTTGAAGAATCAGCGTCGGAATCAGGAAACCTGTGGTGGCCCCAACTCCAAAGTGGTCCTGGTTGGGCGGTCAGACCCGCCGAAGCCACCGAAGATCCACAGAAATTTGGGTTATATAAATTTCATAGGGTTGTCCCATAGGTCCAACGATCAAAACATCCAAAAACCAAGGCCAGCAGCTCTTCAAAAAGGGCTGGGTGCAGCCGAGTCCCAAGTCGTGATGGCCGATGGCAGACACTGGGGCTCTGTGAGTTGTGTTGCTGGAAATAGCTGGAACAAGCGCTCCCAGCTTTCTTTCGATGAACAATTATTTTTGGGCACCCTTTTTTGGGGCAATTCTTCTCGTCTCTGTGTCCAGTTGGGCGCAGATCCTAGCGACACGATGCAAGCGGAGCTGGGAGTGGGTTGATTTCACGGGGGCCACTGTCTGAAAATAGGGAATACCTCAAGTTCTAGAGGTTTATCACAATTTCTTTGAAAATTGCAATGAATTGGGGTATCCCCCGTGTCTGGACAAACCTACATCAAATTGTTCGTTATCATTCTAGTTGTGATATACAAGTATATATGTATATATGTGTAAATATGCATATATGTATATATGTATATCCACCATGATATCTCCATTCTGGTTTTATATCCACCATATCTCTATTTATGGTTTTCTCCCATGGATGTTGAACAAATCCACTGAGGCAGCCCTTCCGCGTGATCCGCGGCATGGACTACATGTACAACCAGCAGCAGGCGAAGGCCATGAGAATGGCACTGGATGCAGGCGGGGGCCTTTGAGATCTTGGAGGTTGAAGTCCCCAAGATATTGTCCTGGAAAGCGGAATTTTGGAAATGGCAATCTAAATTGCACGCACAGACACATGTGCAACACACACAGAGACGCTATATCTTTTCATGCACACACACACACACTGTATATGTGGATTTGCCCACGGACACATGCATACAAAAGGTGCAAAATGGTCAAGACATATATAGGTAGCCTCAAGGCTCAAGCTTCCTCGAAGCGAGGTGGGAGGGGTGGCGTGGCGCCCCACCAATTGAGCCATGGACCGAGTTAACTTCTGGGCCATTCTTCCAAATGATGAAGTACCTCACTCCGTCGCCTGTTGCATGCCCATGCCATTACCGAGTGACTTGCATCTTGACTGACTTGGAAGTTGTTTCGTTGAGCACGTCCTGTGTCTTCTTGGGTTGCCGTGTGGATTCTCGCTACAGCTTGGTTCGGGACCAATTTAGGTCACTTAGGTTGACACGTGGAAGGTGCCCTCACGATGTGACAGACAGGTACTTGCTGATGGTCACCATGGACCAGTGGTCGTGTGCTGTAGAAGGTTGCAAATCCGGGGTTTGTCTTCAGGCATTTGTCTTTGCTGACCTGCTGGATGTTTCCTCTGACGGAGGTGGTGTGATGCCGACCCCAGAATGTCGAACAGGTCGTGGCGATGGCTTGTACCAGGTCATTGGACTTTTCTGCGGTGGTTTCTCGGGGCGGAGCCATGCTTCAAGATTCTTGCCAGGGTTGGAATTTCCCATCTTCACTTGTCTTGCCTTGGATGTTGGCCATGAATGCGCGTTAGCTTTTCACAAGACTTTTGGTGGCACCTTGATGGCTCCTGGCTCTTACAGAACAAAGAAAATCCGCCAAAGAAGCTCAAGAGTGAAAACGGTGGAGAAGAGATGAACTCATGACAGATAATGTGTTCCCAGCTTGACTTGTGGCTTGACCCAACATGTGGCTTTTCCCGTTGTCGTCCTTATGGCGTGTTTTGCTTGTGTCATGTTGACCTGGCCCTGAGACGAATGAAAATTTCTCAAATTTGAGGTTGCTTGGCTTGTCGTTGACCTCCTTTGCTTACCACGCGTTTTTTGCAGAGTGCTTGCCTTGGCCGTGTGTCAACCGCTTGCAGTTGTGCTTGGCTTGATCCGTGTTGTACTGTCTCATGGCTCACTCACCCTCTCTTTTCATTCTCGGGCTACCCTTCTGACACCTCGTACCCCCCTTAACCGGGAAGGGGCGTGGTGCTGCGACTTCGCTCGCGCAGGATTCCGTCAAGACATAGGTTATTTTCCCATAAAAGGAGTGGTCATACCCCCATTCATCACGAAAGCTAGCTTCTGCTAGCTGAAATCCCTCTTGCTTTAGCAAGGTATTGGAGGGGCTGGAATCTCCAATGGCACGAAACTTCATACTTAACTACCCTCCCGCCCCTTATATGTAACATCCATATCCACGTATACTATATATATATATGTCCATATATATATATATCTATATCCATCTCTCTCTCTCTCTATATATATATATATATCCATCTAAATATATTTCCACACACACACATATATATATATATCCATCTGAATCCATCTATATCCATCTATTTCCATCTATATCCAGCTATATCCATGTCCACGTCCATATCCATGTCCATTAAATCATATCCATCATATCCATCATATCCATCATATCCATCATATCCATCATATCCATCATATCCATCATATGTGATATATTTATGATATCTATCATACCTACAAGTAGAACCCGGGCAAGCTGGGGGCGGAAGTTTCAAATTTGAAACGCTTATAGCTTCTGGGAGCGGAACAAAGACTGTGCCTATTGGTGACAGGCAAGCCTTTTGTGCTTCGCAGCAACAAGCTCTTGCCTTGTCACTCTGATGCCATGTCTTTTGAATGTTGGATCTTTTCTCATCTATCTATCCCTATCTTTCTATCTATCTATCTATCTTTCTATCTTTCTATCTATCTCTCTCTCTAGGTAATATTTCCTATCTATCCTATCTGGCCTATCTATCCTATCTATCGTATCTGTCCTATTTATCTATCTATCTTTCTTTCTGTCTATCTATCTATCTATCGATCTATCTATCTATCTATCTATCTATCCATCCATCCATCCATCCATCCATCCATCCATCCTATCCTACCTACCTATCTATCTATCTATCTATCTGTCTATCTATCTGTCTATCTATCTTCCTTTCCTTTCCTTTCCTATCCTATCCTATCCTATCCTTTCCTATCCTATCCTATCGTATCCTATCCTATCCTATCCTACCCTATCCTATCCTATCCTATCCTATCCATCCTATCCATCCTATATTTCCTATCTATCCTATCTATCCTATCTATCCTATCTATCCTATCTATCCTATCTTTCCTATCTATCCTATCTATCCTATCTATCCTATCTATCCAATCCTATCCGATCGGATCCATCCTATCCTATCCTATCCGATCGGATCCATCCTATCCTATCCGATCGGATCCATCCGATCCTATCCTATCCTATCCTATCGGATCCATCCTATCCTATCCTATCGGATATCCTATCTATCCTATCTATCCAATCAGATCCTCTTATCCTATCCTCTCCTATCCTATCCTATCCTTTCCTTTCCTATCGGATCCATCCTATCTATCAATCTATCAATCTATCAATCTATCAATCTATCTATCTATCTATCTATCCTATCTATCCTATCTATCCTATCTATCCTATCTATCCTATCTATCCTATCTATCCTATCTACCCTATCTACCCTATCTATCCTATCTATCCTATCTATCCTATCTATCCTATCTATCCTATCTATCCTATCTATCCTATCTATCCTATCTATCCTATCTATCCTATCTATCCTATCTATCCTATCTATCCTATCTATCCTATCTATCCTATCTACCCTATCTACCCTATCTACCCTATCTATCCTATCTATCCTCTCTATCCTCTCTATCCTATCTATCCTATCTATCCTATCTATCCTATCTATCCTATCTATCCTATCTATCCTATCTATCCTATCTATCCTATCTATCCTATCCATCCTATCTATCCTATCTATCCTATCTATCCTATCTATCCTATCTATCCTATCGATCCTATCGATCCTATCGATCCTATCGAGTCTATCCTATTCTATCCGATTCTATCCTATATCCTATCTATATAATATCTAGATCCATCTATCCTATCTATCCTATCTATCTATCTATCTACCTATCTATCTATCCTATCTATCCTATCTATCCTATCTATCCTATCTATCCTATCTATCCTATCTATCCTATCTATCCTATCTATCCTATCTATCCTATCTATCCTATCTATCCAGTCCTATCCGATCGGATCCATCCTATCCTATCTGATCGGATCCATCCTATCCTATCCGATCGGATCCATCCTATCCTATCCTATCGGATCCATCCTATCTTTCCTATTTATTCTATTTATCCTATCGATCCTATCGATCCTATCGATCCTATCTATCCTATCGATCCTATCGATCCTTTCGATCCTATCGATCGTATCGATCCTATCGATCCTATCGATTTTATCGATCCTATCGATCCTATGGATCCTATCGATCCTATTGATCCCATCGATCCCATCGATCCCATCGATCCCATCGATCCCATCGATCCCATCGATCCCATCGATCCTTTCTATCCTATCTATCCTATCTATCCTGTCTATCCTAGCTGTCCTATCTGTCCTATCTGTCCTATCTATCCTATCTATCCTGTCTATTCTACCTATCCTATCCTGTCCTATCCTATCCTTTCTTATCCTATCCTATCCTATCCTAATCTATCTATCCATCTATCTAAGTATTTAAGTATCTATCTATCCGTCTAAAAACATACAGATATGCTCTGTATATACATATATAGTGCTTTATGTGAGACTAGTGTTTTTGTTGGTGAGTGTAGCATATTTTCGTGATGATTTGGGCAACAAGAAAATTCAGATCTTGGGATCCCTCCACTGCAAATGAAGAGAGAATCTGAAAGCGCGAAAATTACCAAGACCCAAAATAGATTTTTGTGGATCCGGATCACCAGCCCTGCCCAAGGAGAGGAGGGTGAAGATGGCGAGGATGCAGATGCAGACGTGGCAGCTGCACGTTGGGAAGCTCAATGGATTCCTTCGGCCTTGCTTCGGGGCCACGGGTTGATACCAGATACCGTGCAGAATGCCAAGGCATTTTCAGGGAACTGTGGTTCGCACGGTATCGATGTTGGCATCGTGGATTCCAAATGTACAGGCCTTGCCAGATAATCGCATAGCCATTGCTCTCACGTGGATTTTCATGATTTTGGGTCAACAGTCAACACCTATTTCGTGTCTGCTGACAGTAGCTCTTGGTCTTGGTATCGCAGTACCAGCGTTCCAAACAAGCTGTTCAGCACTTTAGCAATAGATGGAGGAATATCAGCCCGCACTGAAGTTCGCTAAATCACATACAATTCCATGCAAGTTCTTGGCTGAAGCATTTGGTTACTGTGATTCTTGAGGCTATCAAACTATCGAGGAGAAGCTGCGTACGGAGCCCCGTGACAATCATGGCAGGATGGGGTATATACTTGAACGCACACAGACAGCCAGCCATCCAGGCAGGCAGACAGACATACATACATATGTATAAATGCACATGTCACATGCATATGTATACATACGCACACACATATACACATATATGAGGTATATCTCCACGAAACCACTAAGCAAGAAAGAGTTGAGGCAAGGCCACTTTCTTCAAGGACATGGAGCGGCAGAAGAAGGGCATCATCCACAAGTTGGCCAAGGCGCCTGTTCCGGCCAAGTGTTTGCAGTTTTTTTTTGGTATGTTAATAGTCTCACAGTATTACATACTATTACTATCTTTGTGTGGGACATTGTCAAAGATTTCGAAACATGAATCACATTTCTACAAGATGTGAGAATCATCTTGGGGTGTATCACCATCATCACCAGCTGCAGAGCTGAGTTGGCCAGGTGTCCAGAATCCACGAGGAGTGTGCAGGACAAGTGCTTTTCCGCACCTCGGCCAATTGGTGGAATGCCTCGGCTGTGAGAGGGCCCCCTGGGTCGATCCAAAAATTGCATCCACAAGTTGGGCAAATCTTTAGATCTTAGCATCCTGAAAGCCTTGTTCGACAGAGGTATTCAATGCACAATGCAGGGAATCCATTCTGGAAGTCCTTTGAAGGCTACTTTGGGAATCGCGGTGGAAACTTCCCAATTCAACAGGTACAACACTTGGCTTGCTGCAAGACACCCAAATTTGCCAGCAAAATCATTTGCGAACGGCGGAGTCTCCATTGCCATGTTGGAAGCCTCATCAATAGATAGAAACATGTCTACGCGGATTTTTGCATTTTTGAGATATATTATATAGCTTGACAGCTAATACACTGATTTTTGCATTTTTTTAAATATATGTGCTTGACAGATAAAACTAATAAAAATAAAACTAATAGTCATAATAACTTGAATGATAATAATAGTAATAGTAGATATAGTAGTAATAATAATAGATAATGTTTTCCTTACAACTTCCGGGTTTCCAATCTTTCCATGCAGCTTTCTGTGCCAGTTTTCGTCCAGGCCAGGGAGATCGAGCTGCAGGCTCCGACCCTAAACCATTGGATTTGGGGAACCCGGGTACCTCATGTTTGGACAAAGCCATGTATTGATCTATTGATCTATCAATCGATCTATTGATCTATCTATCTCTATCTATCTCATAGCATACAGTATCATATGGAAGAGGTTTTCTCCGTGGTGGGGAGCCCAAGCTCTATGGGCTTGGCTCTGTGCGGCTTCCCAGGCGTGTACCTTCTGACACAGGGTTCTTCAGCTGCGGCACCCTGAGTCGTGCTCCACCAATCAAGGGTTCATTGCTTCATAAAATCCAGGTTGACATCACCTTACTGTTGTCTAGCTTTGTGCCAAAATGGGGAAACCCATTGGGAAAGAGGGGACGATTTTGATTCGCCAATGAGCTTAGTTAGTTTTCCCCCACCTTTTTCAAAAAACCGAAGATGCGCACGGCACAGCTTCAGCTTCCAAGTCGTCTTAGGTCTTGGTCCGCGACCCCTCCAAGCCTGAGACACCTCGCCAGAAGGCTGGACCTCAGAAGGAAACAGGAGATTGCCAGTGGCCAGTTGCCAGAGCGGATGCTCCATACCCGCCAGGATGTGAAGGGCTTATCCACTCTGACGCAAGTGCGGCATGGGTCCACAGCGACATTTGTTTGCGACGTGGACGCGGTTGCTCCATGTCCACCCCGTCATGCTTGTTGTTTTTGAACGGAGCTTCTTGTAAATGTTTGAACGTTGGCATTTTGACATATCATGAAGTACTGTACCCTCATTGAGATGGGCATGGAATTCCTGGAAATCAATGGAAAACCCAGATCTGTGATCAACCCACAACTTCACCTTGGTCACTGTCTTTTTCCCCAGGCAGGAGGCTAAGACGGAGAGCAGGCCTGGTCCTGCTGTGTCAAGCTGTCACGCCGTGGTCGGTAGATCTTCCGGACCGTTGCTTGAGGCGTGGTGCCTAGGAGTATCGGCCACCGCAGCTTGGTTCTCCAACCTGGTGGGTGGAGAAATGGATGTTTTCGTGGTGAATGGATTGCCAGAGAGTACTAGATACAAGTAAGTATGAACGAGGTTGGCCGACCGGAATTGATTGGGGGTTATGGAAGCCGGGAAACAATACTAGGGCCCAGAGGACCTTACCCAGCAGTTCGGTCATTGTGAATATCAGGGCCTTATCAGGGTTGGGAAAGCTGTCATCATTCTGAAGTTGCACCAAATTGCCATTGTTTGCAGTGCTTCCCAACTTATTTTGGCATTTGAAGGTGAGTCCGGTGAGTCTAGTCCTCATTTTTTGGGGTCTTGAGTCCTTGGCTTTCGATAAGGCAAGAGCTTGGCAGGTGCCGGGAGGGACCTCGAGATGCAAGTGCTTCAAACTTTTTAGGAAGCTTGAATCCAAATCGCTGTGCCTATCAACTATCCAGTTTAAATAGAAAGAAGAACTTGACCCAGTCACGAAGGACCTGCAGTCTACAATCAATTTTTTTCCCCACATTCAGGTTTAAGTCAAGAAGGCCCTGGGGCCCTCCGTTAGATCCCAGATGCTGCAACTTCCCCAGAGATTTGCGCAGGTCTGAGACGAAAAGGCGGGCTGAAGGGTACGGGGCTGGTTCGCCACATTGCGTGAGCCAGCAAATGAGACACCTGAGAGCATGCATATGCACAGGCACAACAGTGAACGTGATCCCATTCATGTGGTATCATAGCCAATGATAATGATGGAAGATAATTGCATTTGCAAATAAATTCAGCTGGTTTAATGTGGTAAACCCAACAAACAAACCATTTTACCAGAGAGGCAGACGGAGATCTCCGAGATGTCCGCCAAGATCCGTGAGAAGATCGCCCCAAAGCGGCCCGGTGCAAGCCTTTTTTTGAGCATATTTCATGCATTTTTTTTGAGGATATTTCATGCAATTCTATATAGTAACCTCCCCAAAGATAGAGCAGCAAAATACGAAATCATGTTTTTTTTGGTTTGTCTTTTTCCTCTCTCTCTCTCTCTTGTTGCCTTTATTTATTTGTCAAGGTGTAGTGTATTTACATTTAGATATGCATTTCATAATTACGTCTATACATACAATACATGCATGCATGCATACATAGATACATACATTGACATAGATACATACATAGGTAGATACATAGACATAGAGACATACTTGGATACATAGATACACAGATACATAATTACATAGATACATGGATACATAGAGACATAGATACATAGATACATAGATACATAGATGCATGCATGCATACACATACGTGTATGTATATATATATATTTATATTTATATCACGCACACACACATATCATATATATATATATATCACGCACACACACACATATATATATATATCTGCACATGTGTATTCCACGTCTAGTTGTATGAATGTCCATATCTCTATGTATTGAAATATCTCCATCTGCAAACCTGCAGTGACCTACAAATCTACAAGTCCGAATGTTTACGAAGCTACGCATTCTCGCTAAGCAAATCCACACACCTACAAACCGCATATGTACAAATTCGATCAAATTCGCAAATGTACCAAATCTAAGAGTCAGCAACAGCAAATTTCCGAATTTGCACAGCTGCAAAAATTACACATCTAGTCATCTACAGATTTACGCATCTACAAATCCACCTCTCTCTATCTCTCTGTCTCTCTACCTCTCTACCTCTCTATCTCTCTACCTCTCTATCTCTCTATCTCTCTATCTCTCTATATCTCTATCTCTCTATCTCTCTATCTCTCTATCTCTCTATCTCTCTATCTCTCTATCTCTCTATCTCTCTATCTCTCTATCTCTCTATCTGTCTGTCTATCTATCTATCTATCTTTCTATCTATCCATCCATCCATCCTATCTATCCATCCTATCTATCCATCCTATCTATCCATCCTATCTATCCATCCTATCTATCTATCCTATCTTTCTGTCCTATCTATCCTATCTATCCTATCTATCCTATCTATCCGATCTATCTTGTCTATCTTGTCTATCTTGTCCATCTTATCCTATCTCATCCTATCTTATCCCATCTTATCCTATCTTATCCTATCTTATCCTATCTTATCCTATCTTATCCTATCTTATCCTATCTTGTCCTATCTTATCCTATCTTATCCTATCTTGTCCTATCTTATCCTATCTTACCCTATCTTATTCGATCTGATCCTATCTTATCCTATCTTATCTATCTAATCTATCTTATCTATCTTATCTATCTTATCTATCTTATCTATCTTATGTATCTTATCTATCTTATCTATCTTATGTATCTTATCTATCTTATGTATCTTATCTATCTTACGTTATCTATCTTATCTTATCTTATCTTATCTTATCCTATCTTATCTTATCTTATCTTATCCTATCTATCTATCTATCTATCCATCTATCTATCTATCTATCTATCTATCTATCTATCTATCTATCTATCTATCTATCTATCTATCTATCTATCTATCTATCTATCTATCTATCTATCTATCTATCTTATCTATCTATCTATCTATCTATCTATCTATCTATCTATCTATCTATCTATCTATCTATCTATCTATCTATCTATCTATCAGCCTATCTATTTGTCCATCTATCCATTGGTCCCTGCATTATCCATCCGTAATCCAAATATAGATCCGTCCATCAATCGTTCTATCTGATTTAAATCTGTGTCCGTCTGCCTGTTTGTCTACCTGTTTGTCTCTCTGTGTATGTATCCATCTATAATTGAAAATTGTTTCTTGTTTATCTGTGCCGTGAGTCTGTCTGCCCCCCTGTCCATCTGTTGCAGACACCCTGTCATATGCTTTACTATAAAAACTAGGGTAAATAAACCAGAAGCTTAATGTATCTTGATATTGTCAGTCACTTGTTGCCCAGCTTGAGGCAGAAAATCCTGCGACGGGATCTCTCCTCGAGTGCTCAGCCCGGTGTCCCAACCTGGCAGGGCTGTGCTTCAAGGTCTGTTTGAAGCACGAAACACGATGAGATTCAGAAATCTGCAGCAAAACTTTGTGATAGATGAAATAGATGGTTTTCACATTATGAAGGGTGGCATTTTTAAATCATTTTTCTAGATGTATGCTGCCTTCCCTGAGTCGCTCAGGGGTGCCCAGGCAGGGCACCGGTGTTTCGCAGCTGATGTGCCTATCAATTGTGTGGGGTCTTAGAGGAAGCCTTACTTTGGGGTGCAGTTGTTGCTATAAATGGGTAGAAACATGGTATTTTCCCACAAGTTGGGATATATATATATATATATATGTATATATATATGTATATATATATATGTATATGTATATATATATATATGCATATATAATACCTTTTATAACTATGCTTATATGTACACTAAACGATGCTGAAAGCTGGTCATTTGGCTGCTTTTGAGCAGGCCTATGTCACAGTGGAGGGAGGCAACACCTTTACAGAGGAGTTGAATCAGGGATGCTTCGTTCGTGGTCAACTCTAGATCAATCCCGTTGGTTTCATCGGATTAATCACTTTTGTTTTGGGGTACAACCTCAATCAATCAGGATCATGGTTTCATTGGATCTGTGGTTTAGCCACGTGAATTCTGAGCCAACCCCATTGGATGATTCGATGCGTGAAGGGACTATAAGTTCTATGATGTCCTCAGCTGAAGACCATGGATTTCAAGCTCAGGGATCCAGGCTCCTGAGATTTTGTCCCAGGACTCGAAGCTGGGGGTGCAGGCGTGATGTTTTTGGGGCGACGCTTGAAGTTTCGATGCTGATGTAGCACTTTGAGGGTATTTCGATAAGTTTTCAGACAAAAAAACACATTGTCTTTTTCAGAGAGCCAACTGTGATTCTTCACCATGTAGTATTAGTGATGCGAGCCACTTTGCCAATGCCTTCTGTGGGAGTGAGTGGCGATTTGGTCTCACACATAGTTGCCCTTGCATACACAGCAAAATGATCATCCTTTGTGATGGCTGCCTAACTGTTCCTCACCCCATCAGTGGGAGAACCTTCCTGCCGGGCAAAGACTTCGGAAAGCCGCAGATCAAAACCATCATTCCTAGATTGGGGATCAAACCTATACCCCACATTCATCCCATGTCCTGACTGTTACACATAGGCCCCGTCGTTCCTCCAACGGGAGGTCAATGTGATCGAGGCCGGGTCGGTCTTTGGCGCTCCGGCCTCAGATGATTTGTATCAATTCGCCTTAAATCCAGGTTGTTGGTTGCATCCCCATGATGATCAGACCTCATCAAACAGTTCATCCCGAAGCAGAGTTCCCCATGGCGCACTGAGAAAGAATCCTTTTCGGACTTGGCGCACTGCTCGCCGCATTCGAAGCTCTCAGGAAGTGGCTCTGCTTTCAGATGCCCCACGGAGTGCCAGTATCAAGTGCCCCAGCTCAAGAGGTGCTGAAGAAAACTGGCTCAACATGGCCTCGACCAAAGGATTACTGTAAGTGCTCAAATGCGTGTGGAATGTTGTGAAGGTGTTAACCTTTCTCGTGGACCCATATAGTTGAGAAGCAAGGTGTCCACCATCCCAAAGTGTGCATTTCTTGGCTTGCGGATTTTCAACAGTGCTCACAACTATCACCGACTATCACCACTGCGCGGACAATCTGGAGTCGTACAAAATGGTTGGTAACTGTGACAGGGTCAGATCCAGCACAAAACTATTCTAGCAGTGGTGGGCCCTCAACAGATGCAAATGGGGGTCACAACTACCCACAACTGGGGGGTGACTGGTATTGAACACTTGAAAACTATGTTTCCCAGCGATTACTAAGTACATCTAAGTACTAAGAACCCATGGAGAGAGTGACATCCCCATGCCGCCTCCCAAGCGCCAGGCCTGTGGGATAGGGGCCTGCCAAGGTGCTTGGAGGACTGCGAGTTTGTGGCCGTTAAGGCGTCCACTTTCAGAAAGGCTGGGCCGCTGGGCTACTTTACCAATGATGGGCGTCCCATCTCAAATTGCTCCAATGACTTACCATAAATATGGCAATCAAACTTGGCTCGCTGGAAAAAATCCCATAGATGAGAGAGAGAGGGAGAGATGTTTTTATATATATATATATGCTGTATATATATAATACACATATTTCCCCATTTCATCTTGTATATTTCCCATTTCATTGACATTTATAGGGGATCTCCCGTTGCCATGCTCGAGGGTAAATTTGTGGTTTTCTTTCGCTTCATCATCTATTTGATGAGAGGTCCTGGCCGAATTCACGGACGTAGCGCGTGCCTGCGGTGTCTTGCAATCCGCAGGGGTCTCAGCCGCCAAGGGCCTGTTTGGGGATGTTTGGGGAATGTGCACTCGGGGATGAATAAACACCGTATGATTTTGGCAAACCCAATAATAAGCCATTCCTAATTTTACCATAAATGGGTGGTATAAAGTATAAACCATCAAAATATGGCTGGTTTATTGCTTTGCTAACATCACCAGATATTTTCTTTCATGAACCCGTGAATTTTGAGGAATTTCTATCCCTAAGATAATTGGGATGAATCTTTAGGATCTTGTTCCAGCTCACTCAAGGGATGTAGCTCCGGGGCTGTGTGGATAAACCTGTGGATCTTCGCTCCCAATTTTGGAGTCCAAAAGATCATCCCAACTTGGAGCTCTACCCTCCAGTAAACTAACATAGCTGTTGAAAAGTGGCCATTTATAGATGATTTACCTATCAAAAACGTGGATTTTCCATAGTCATGTTAGTTTACCAGAGGGGAAAAAACAGATCACCAAATCACCAACAATTTCTTAGGTCCCAAGGTCCCAAGGTCCCAAGGTCATGTCATTTTCGAGGTGGATACCTTCAACCGTTTGGAGGCCTGATGGATGATTTATCTACGGAATATGGAGGCTTTTTCCTTGCCAGGTTTGCAGGTTTGAACAGAAGCTGACTGGTCACAGGAAAGAACGCCTGGCATCATCCATACGCCTGGCTCCCAGCGTTGGATGGCTTTGTGGGATTGGTTGTGCAAGTAGTTCAAGCGGAGATCACAGGGGTGGCAATTGAGAAGAGATTCCATCAGATTCCATGAGATTCCGAGGTTTTTCTTCGCAGATCTGACAATTCCTTGGGATGGCACTTCTCGGTTGCCAAGGCTGGCCAAGACGGCGGAATTTAGTAAAGAGGCCAAGGGGCAGGCGGGGACTTCTGGGTCGACGCCCGCTGGTTGTCAGAGCTCCTACCCGCAGTTCAGGGGTTCAAAGAGTCTATGTTGTCAGGATTGATTTGATGATATTTGATGGCTCTAACACTCTAATGGCGAATGTAGTTCCAAGAGATGTGAAAGTACTGAGTTAGCATGAAACTATATGAAACTATTATATGAACACACCATTTTTCATATCTTTTAGGACCCTGAGAGCTGATTTGACCGGTGCCTTTCAGGTGATTTTCCGGCAGGGCGATCCAGGTGCAGGGCCCCAGGGCCGGACGCTGAAGTCGCCGTTGAGCACAGCTCAGCAAGCTCTGCCGCCAGGCAAAGGTTGCTTCATGCTGGTGAAGGGTCAGGCCGGTGACGGGTGAAACACCAAAACAACACCACTGCTTGGTACAAAGTACGCTTTAAACTGTTTGCGAATGCGGCGAATGGTGAGTTCATACTCGAAACGAGCACAAAAAAAGGGGGCATTCTGTTGAAGTTTTTATCTCGACATGCAGAGTGCAAACAGATTGAAGTCCCTGTCAGAGGTTCTATCTCTATGAGTGGAGGGTGTGAGGGTATGAGGGTATGGCGTGGTATAGTATCTTTCGATGGTCATAAGCTGCCAGTAGGATGAAAGATTCTGATCCACTGAGCTCTCCTCCACCGTACATCACATATGAAAGCCCTCGGGAGCACAGATTGGAGCCATTCTCTTTGCTCGACTTGATGCATTCCGATCTTTACTTCTTATCGAACCCCCGCTGTGGGTGGAACATTCCCTCTGGATTCTTCAGATTTTCCAACTCCACAGGCATCCAAATATCACACCTTATATATATATATACAAATATAATATACATATATACACACCATTATGATTATTACCACAAGTATAACATAGATTATGTATATATTATGTTATCCCAATTCCATTCCGATTCTACCAACACCAAGCCACATTTGATCCGTGCATCCCTTCGTTACGCCTTACCCGCTGCTGCGCGATCCACCGCCACCGCCAGCGAAAGGTCACCGTGCACGTGCGCAAGGGTGCGAAGGTGCCGCAGCTGGACACTGCCACAACCCCTACCATTTGGGAATTATTTTTAAACCATCCCTTTATTGTGATATTGGGCCAATTGGGGATGCTTTATGATTGGGTTTGCCACATCATTCCATCTATCTCTTTTTACTCTTGTCCGAGATTTCTGGCTGGTCCATGAATTTACCATGCGTTGCACATCGGCTGTGCGGCAGGGGCACCGTTGGCCTCCCACACCGCGCATGGCGGGCGGCGACATGCCAACTTTGACCGAGTGGCGGAGGTGCCATGTTTGACAATGGGGGGTGTTGCAAAACCCGTGTTGGTCGATGATTAATTATAGGGGATTATACTACCCAATATATTGGAGATTATAGTGATCCACTAGGGGAATCCCTATTAACCAACCAGTGTGATGGTTAACTGCACCAATTTGATGGGTATATTTTGGAGATATTAACCAATAAGATGGTGTGGGTGTGGATCCGAAAATGTTGTGTATACCCCCAAATGGCATTCTAATCGGGACAAGTAGATTTAGCAAGGGAATTTAGGGGCACCATATCTTTAGACACTCAAAAACCATCCCTGGTTGGTGGCTCCTAAAGGTATTCACTTAAAAATGGTTTCATTTTTACTTATCATTTGGGGATGATGATCTCAGTTACCCTAGGGTAAACTAACAGTTCGATACGAAAACCCATGGTTTCAACTGGGAAAACGATCCCAGTTAGCCAAGATCGAGGTCGGCCCCGAGCCAGGAGCGGATTGGAGGCCTTTGACGATGCCTCACGCCGGGAAGAGCTGAAATATGGGCGCCCGCCACGAGAAGTGGGGTTGTCCGGTTGGGTTGTCGCCTTTGTTGGGGGTGCAGTTGGGCTTATCAATAGGTATCACCTGGTACAACGACTATGATGGTAACCACCCCTTAAGTTGGGATAAACCACCATTCAGTATAACTACAGATCAACTTATAACTGGAACTGCGCCCCCAACAAAAGGGAGAAAGCGACTCCAAAGACCAGCGAAATTATGCAGCGCAAGTTGTGAGTCCTTCCCACAGCCAGCTGGGTTTGGTTCAAAATCCACGGCCATTCCAACAACTCTGGGTATGCTGCAACATGGAGCAGGGGGTCCGATGAATCAGATGTGAATTTCGAAATGATTCCAACCATGGGACCATTTTATTCACTCTGGATGAATTACAACGACCAAGCCTTGTTGTCACTGGGGGAACATCCCCAAATGTCCTTATTTCAGGTAAGTGAACTAAGTGAACTACTTACAATTTATCCAGAATTCACTGGTGCTGGAGATGGCAAGCGCCAGGAGCAATCCTTTCGCACCACCGAGGGCTTCAGCACCTTCGGTAAGGCGTGACCCCAGTTTGGTTGATAAGTCGATCGTTGTGTATAAACATGAGCACAAAAGAACGAATACAAAAGAATAGACCTAAATACAGTAAATGGTGTGTAATATTCTATAATCTTATGTGCATATATATATTATTCATAAATGTATTGGATTGTGCGAACTGGTCAAAGGCAATTCGGATAATCTCACAGTAGAATTTTGACAGAAGATTCTGGGCACTGCTTAATTGATGGTTGGGCTGGTACTTGACGAAGCTGATGAATACAGGGATGATTGGTGAAAGGCTGTCGCATGGTGGGAAATGTATGGAAATGTGTGATTTGCTTAGATATACCCTCCAGAATAAACCTGACAATGGAAAATACTGCATCTGTAGACGGATCATTTGCTGCATGATTTCCATGATCACTCGTTCCTTTTTTTGGTGATTGTATCTTCCATGTTCCAAACCAAGCCTTCAAAAGCGCAAGGAGTCCAACTATGGAGATATGGTGAAGTGGCTCAGAGAGGGCACTCTCTTCGGAGCTGGGCACACCCAGACGGGGATGACTCCGGGGATCTCAGGTGTTAACCGTTGCTGAGACTAGCTACAGCTGGAACCAGCATTTGACGAACCGTAGCATGATCAAATCTCAACAAATGATAAGCATTGATAAGCCATCAGTTTGCCGCATCTTTTGTGCGGATCACGGCTCAACACACCCTGGCTGCTGTTTTGGGGGGGTCACCCTGCAAAATGTCCAATGAGACATCCCAGGAGGAGCTAAGGAGCTATGGGTACGCATTTCCTATTAAATGGGGAGCCAAGGGAGAAGGAGTTTCAAAGAGTTTCCCAACAGCTACTAAGAGTTTCCCAACGACATGATACATATGATACTGGTACTGTAAAATAGCCATTTGTGGTAACCAATCATTATCCAATGCCAGAATAGTCACCAGGACTGCAACGAACCCAGGAGCTGGCCCTTCAAAATACTGAGCCGCTCGAAAGCCCAGGAGCTATCCGAGGGAACGACCGCAGGTCCAAAGGTTGGGGGATATAAATAATATATAAATTACACACACATACACACATACATATATATATATCTATATATGTGTATGGGGGGAGAGAGAGAGAGAGAGAGAGAGAGTGTATGAAATAATCTCCTTCCCCTCATATACTTTGGAAATGACTGAGCTAGTATTGATCTACTGTAATCTTTTTGGGGGCCGAGGTATTCAAAATTGGGGCGGTGGGATTGTTCACAGAGATGAGGCTACTTTGAAAATGGTAGAGGTAGAGCCTGCAAATTTCCACTTGAATTTGGAACAAGATGACAAACGGTTGGATTTCGAGGGTGCCCTTATTTGGACCCAGGGGTGAGGGTTGACAAAGGAACAGGCGAATAAAGTAGACAAACGATGAATGAATGAAACGACATGACATCATTTTGAATTGATTGAATGATTGGTTAATATTGGTTTTAGATGAACTGAATACAAATGATGCAAATGGCAACATGTCTTATCATTTTTACCTTAGGCCATTCTCCTTCAATTCAAAGACTCAAACTCTGCGAACAATCAGAGTTTCCTGTCTCCAATGCCTAAGGCGCAGCGCAACCATCGTGTGTGGGGCCTGGATCTTTTCGGCATAGGAGACAGAAAACCGTAGTTTTCGATCATTCTAAGGTATTTTGATGTTGTGGAAAGGACACCCTTTTACACCAGTTCCGAGAAGTGTAACAAGTTTTCTTTGACATCAGTTAAAGATTAGCATGGCACCTGCATTAGCTGCGCAAGGATGACATAGCACATTTGGTGCTACTTTGGCAACGTTGGCTCAAGAAAAGTGCTGCCTGATTGCAGCTTTGCCCAACCTGAAATCCTCAGATGTATTTTGAACATCAATCATCCAAGTTTTTGATTTTGGGCACAGTCATATATCACAAAGGAAATGCCACCCCCAAGATCAGGTTGAAAAAACAATTGCTCTCTCACCGTTTCCCTAGGTGCTCCCAAGATTGTGAGCTGCTACGTTTGCGGAAGGAGGTTCCTTGGCTGCAGTTCTTCCCCAAATTGGATGTGTTGGTCTGGAAAAAACATAAATTTGTGGGCTCAACGGAAGGCCTATTCAGTGCGGGCCATACTCATAATTCTATCACGTGCGCGTATCTGATTTTTGCTCAAATTCCAGAGTTTGTTGAAGGGAAAACCTTAGGGAAACCACTATTTGGTAAGAGCATCTCCAGGACTACCTCAACGTTATCCAGGGCACCAAGCAGAAGGCCAGGATTGTTTTTTTTTCCACTGACAAACGTATACAAAGGAGTTAATTTTTCCTATGTTATCTTGCCTCTGCCGTTGTTGACCGCTGATTTCCTGCCTGAAACTCCTGCTGCCAGATCTACTTCTTTGATCGGTTCCTAGCCCCTTTCCGCCACAATGCAGACAAGCGCGCCCAAGGTGCGGGTCTGGGACCATGGGGCACCCAGCGCGCAAGATGTCCATATTTCGAAGCGGTTAACTAAGGTGCCCTGACTCAGCATCCGTGGGGAGGCCCAAGACCTTGGGGTCCAACTTGATGCCTTCACATCTTGGTGTGATAAGTTTTGATCCCCCACTTCTTGTCTCAAGGAAACACAACTTTGAACAGGGTTTGAGAGCACGATCATCGAGAAATGAGGTTCAAAAGGGATAGGCTGTGCCGTTCCACACTTGCAGATGTGCAGTTCACTGAAGTTTCTGGTGTGTCGAGTGCATTTTTACCACCAGTGTTGGCCGCGACTGTCGCCGCTCAGGTCCCTTCTTTTCGCTGACGAGATCGTCCGTGATGGTGCGCATCGGAGCTGTCTTTCCCAAGGGGTCTGAGGGGCAGTGCCGCGGATCAATCTAAATCTGGTAGGTCTCATCCTTTTGGAATGTTATTTGCTGCGGAATCAACAGAGAGTGCCTGCCTCGGAATCCTTCGGTGAATTTTCTAGGGAAAATGTGGCTATTGCTTGGGCCCTGCAGCGGCTTTTGTCCAAACGCGGTGATGAATCCCAGTCAATTCCAATAGACAATCTTCCAATTCTTCGACCGGCAGAGAATGGGAAATCTCTGAAAATTCCCCGGGCATGGCATGAGGCAGGATCAACCCAATTCCTGGGCAAACCCTGGAGGCCAAACTCTGACCACCGAGGGTATGTATGCGGATCCCAAGATCTTTGTGCTAGGCGCCCCTTGGCCGCCCACAAAAACTAGAAGGAAGTTGATTGGCAATGATGGGTAAATCCTTTTGGAGTCGCTAAACACACAAATAGGAATTTTAATAGTTATTATCAGCAAGATTACATAAAGGATCAAGAGAGATGAGGGAACCAAATTTCGGTTGGCCGCCTTTGACCCAGATTCATGATTAGCAGCCCATGATGAGCAGAACTGAGGCCTCCAGCCGTGTGGAGTTTTGCAGATACAAAGATCCAGGTGCAGCCAGTAGCCAGCGGTCAGAGTTTCCATGGCTTTTAAACAGATTGGCTGGGCTTTAAACCTTCTCTTGAGAGGGTTGGTCACTTGGGGTGAGATGCTAAGATGCCCCGCTGTACTGCCCCGTTGCCTGTTGCCATCGGAAAACATGCAAGGTGATAACCCTGCATACATCCTGAGCAAGCGGCCGCAGAGTGTCTGTGCCACCCAGTCAGAGAAGCAAAGCACAGATCTGGTTGGAAAGTCACGATATGTCATGATGCTCAGCAGTGCTGTCCACCTGATTCACCTGCAGAGCACAGTGAGGCGCCAAACCAGAAGGCCAACCGATGTCAACCGCTGCTCCCGGGGGACCTGGAACGTTGTGAGCCGGATGAGGAGCGGAGCACCTTGGGTGAATCTTCGTTGGGTAAATGGGTGATTTTTTTGATTTCGATGGGAAAAACCTTCAATCTTTGGCTCCTAAAGTTCTTTTTTCCTTGGGGGTTGGTTCATCTAAGATGAACCATAGTCATAGTCTAGAATACCAGTAGACGTTATTCACCAAAAAGATACCAACAAACATGGAGGTTTTACATGGTGTAACGCTCTAAAATGGAGGCAAACAAGGCAATCTAATTATATAACAGACACAGTCACTGCGTATAATGATACATAAATGAATACAAAGCAAATTCACACATGAATACATATAAATATAAAGCCCATAATTATACCGTAAACATACATATAAACATATTTATAACTACAACTATAAATAAATAAAATAAATAAATAAATATATATATATATATACACGTGTATATACACGTGTATATATGACTTCATTTGCACGAATACAGATACAGACATTAGGATCAGTTATATACAACAACCTCACTGCGACGTCACTACAATGATCGTTGGTAGGGGTTACTATCCTCAAATGTCCGTATTTTAGGTCAGTGAATTATTTTTTGGTTCAGGCACCTTCCTCTATAATTGCCCCTCTGTGTTTCGGCTGACGTGTACCGTTCTGGTTGACGTTGTCGGTGACGTTGTAAACCCCAATTTTTTTTTCTTACGTAAATTTTGACGTTGTAAACGCCGATTTTTTTTTCTTACGTAAATTTTGACGTTGTAAACGCCGATTTTTTTTTGTCTTACGTAAATTTTGACGTTGTAAACGCCGATTTTTTTTGTCTTACGTAAATTTTGACGTTGTAAACGCCGATTTTTTTGTCTTACGTAAATTTTGACGCTGTAAACGCCATTTTTTTTCCTAACGTACATTTTGACGCTGTACAAAAGCCAAATTCTTTTTTCTTACATAAATTTGGATCTTGTAAACGCCACTTTTAGTCTTGTTCATGTCATGATTGATGTTATCAACCCCAAACTTTTCTTGCTTCAAGTCATGACTGACATCGTGAGTTGTATTTTTTGTTTCCTGTGATTTTTGCGTCATGAGTCATGATTCATGATTTACTATGGGCGCCCATTTTTGTTCATGTCGTTATTGCAATGATTGTTTTGATGTTGAGATGGGTCAATTCTTTTTTGTATTGTCACACTCCTGATTTCACAGTTTGGGTTTTGGTTTGTTTTTTGAAACTCAGCTGGCATTGAATCTGGTGGGTGTGTTTAACTTGTTTTTGTCCCTTCATTGGCCCTTCATTGGTTGGTTTTGCCGTTGTCGTCGTCGTCGTCCTCGTGGTTGTTGTTGTTGTTGTTGTTGTTGTTGTTGTTGTTGTTGTTGCTCTTCTTCTTCTTCTTCTTTTTCTTCGTTTTCCCAGTTCTTGTTCTCGTTGTTCCGTTCTTGGTGATAACCGTGCTTGTGGCTGTGGTTCTTCCATTGTGTAAAGGTCACTGTCACACATTGGTACATGGTTGCGTTGTCACATCGTCACTTCCTGCGTGTAAGTGTTGCATAATACATAATGCTGAATAAATGATGAACTAATTTGTTTCCTTAAACCTGGTAGATCCTGGTAGGCTGTGGCAAGTAAAATTGGTAGGTAACGGCAGGTAACAAGACAAGACTCACCTGCGAGAAAGGCAGGTCCGATCAATAAAGCAAAGATATAACAGGATGTATGCATGCATACATGTCTATGTCTGTATGTATGTATGTGGGTTGTATGCGTTTTGAAACCAGGTAAAATTCGAGGCTCACGCCGCCAGCCTCATGGAGCTACCCCTCCACGGAGAAGAGGCGATGGACGGCCCCCCCTTCCCTCCCCACCCTACTTGCTGACCCGCGCTGGGAAGACCCCCCTGTCCCCAGCCGGCTGCCGCCTTAACCCACGAACACTGACGCGCAGCAAAAAGGAGTTTGGGGGGAAACAAAAAAAAACTTATGGGCAAATGTGTGGTGACACACAGGCAAATTATAGAGGCCAACGCCTAACATGGGCACAGTCCCGAACTATCCCGAACTATCCCGAACTATCCCGAACTATATGAAATACATCCGAACGGTTCAGAACGGTTCAGGTGTCACTTCGTTTTCCTCATCCTTGCCCCCAGGATGGATCCCAGAGGACCACTGACCGCTCACGTGACAAGATTGCCTGCCTTAGACGGGTTTGGGTGTGACATATACTTTTCAGAAGATTGTGAAATTTAGCCTAAGTTTCTCCCAGCCCCGTTCTTTGGGAAAACATTCTGCCACGACTTGTGTCACAGCCTAAGTTACTTTCAGACATGCTTTTCTTCACCGAAGTTTTACTTGAAGTACCTTGACTTATGGCAATTTACAACTCACAACTTGCAACTGACATCACTTGTCTTACAACTTTTCTTCCTCTTATAATTTGTAATTAGCTAATTAACTTAAAACCTCATAGCTTAAAACCTTTACTTGTTTACAAGTCATGCATCTTCAACTTGTTATGTTGTAAAAATTGCCCACTTTTAAGCTTAGAATCTAAGGCAAAAACCTGATACGCCTGAACCGTTCTGAACCGTTCGGATGTATCGGAGGCCTGAGTTCGGATTAGTTCGGAATAGTTCGGGATAGTTCGGGATAGTTCGGAGACGCCTGAACCGTTCTGAACCGTTCGGATGTATCAGAAACTGATACGCCTGAACCGTTCTGAACCGTTCGGATGTACCAGAAATTTACAATGTTTTTTGATTTTTTTTCTATATTTTTTTGAACTTAACTTGAACTTAGTTTTTAAACATGTAATTTTATCATCATTGACATGGATAACTGGATAACTTATTGATAACTTAATAACCTTTCAACTGGTGGGCTGACAAAAACACATACTTTAACCTACCTTATCACTTATCAGAATACTGAATCAAAACTTCATAGTCATAATGAATCAAAAATGCCACATTTACAGCATAAACAATTACGTCGGGAAAAAACGCCAAATTTACAACAAAATTTACGTGACGAAAAAAAACACCAAATTTACAACATCAAAATTTACATCAGAAAAACATATGCCAAATTTACAACATCAATATTTACATGAGAAAAAAAAACGCCAAATTTGCAACACCAAAATTTACGTGAGCAAAAAAAACCGCCAAATTTACAACATCAAAATTTACGTGCGAAAAAAAAAGAAGCCAAATTTACAACATCAAAATTTACGCGAGAAAAAAAAAGCCAAACTTACAACATCAAAATTTACGTGAGAAAAAAAAACGCCAAACTTACAACATCAAAATTTACGTGAGAAAAAAAAACGCCAAATTTAAAACATCAAAATTTACGTGGAAAAAATAACGAGAAATTCACAACATCACTTACAACATCGAGGACAACATTGGACGTGTGCCAAAACATTGATAGAGGCAGGTGCCTGAACCAAATTATTTTTATATATCCACATGCCATACCATACCATACTTATTGCATTGCATTTAATTACAACACAATAAATTTATGTACACTAGATGATGCGCACACACACAGACACGTATACATGCACATAAATAAATACATGAATAAATAAGTATACAGATTAAATAACCATGCACACATACACAATCACATTACACATATACATATGTATATATATATATACACATATATATTTACATATACACAGGTATGTTATGTTATGTTATTATGTTGTGTTATATATGTTATGTTAGTTATGTTAGTTATGTTATGCTATGGTATGGTATGGTATGGTATTGTATGTATGTATGTATGTTATGTTATGTTATGATGTTATGTTATGTCATGTTATTATGTTATGTTAGTTATGTTAAGTTATGTTATGTTATCTTATGGTATGGTATGGTATGGTATGTCTGTTATGTTATGTTATGTTATGTTTTGTTTTGTTATGTTATGTTATGCTATGTTATGTTATGTTATGTATTGTATTGTATTGTATTGTATTGTATTGTATGTATGTATATAATGTAATGCAATGTAATGTAATGTAATGCAATGTAACGTAACGTAACGTAACGTAATGTAATGTATGGTATGTAATGTAATGTAAATGTAATGTAATGTAATGCAATGTCATGTAATGTAATGTAATGTAATGTATGATATGTAATGTAATGTAATGTAATGTATGATATGTAATGTAATGTAAATGTAATGTAATGTAATGTAATGCAATGTAATGTAATGTATGGTATGTAATGTAAATGTAATGTAATGTAATGTAATGCAATGTAATGTAATGTAATGTATGTATGTGTATATATATATATGTACTGTGACAAAAACCATGCGATCAAGTCACATAGATGAGAGTGAGGATGGACACCATCAATCAGAGATGGTCCAACATATCAGGCTTGGGATTTCTTACAAACTCCGTGGAGCATAGGTCCCCTGAGCGAGCAGCACACGATAGGCAATAGGAACATCATCCCCAAATTTTGAGTACCAATGTGCCCAAAAGTGATCAACAATTGTAATTTTCAGTATCCAACTTATCCAACCATGCATTTTGGGATTTGATCATCTTGACCCATACCCTTGGAACCTTAACTGCAGTTTGCTTGTGAAAAAAACCAAAGATCTCTAAGACTCTAAGATCTCCCAATTTTTTGAAAGCTTCACTCCCGCATTTGATGTTGCTTGGAGTATCATCTCGGGGAATTTCTCAAGGAGCTACGGCAGTCCATCACCACCTTCAATCCCAACGGCCAGGAGAAGTTTCTATTTGGGGTGTTGGGAGCAACCCTGTTGGACTTGTTGAGGGAAGATCAACTGGCCCAAACTTGTGACTCAACATGGAATTGCTCAAAACTTTGATCCCTAATCCTTTAGGATCCTATTCAAAATCTAGGTTCAGCTGGTTCTGGGGTTTGGGTGCCATCTACCTCAACTTTAGGAGGTGGTGGTGTATGACATGATCAAGGAGGGAAGTGCCTCAGTTGCATCAGCAGTAGATCCTATGCAGTCCTTAGCAGGAAACCTACCATGGAACCTGAAGCTCTCCAGCATCCTGGTCTCAGAGGCGGCTCGGCCCAGGCATTTTCGCAACGATGTCTGCCTGTCTCAACTGCAGCCCAGAACCCTTCTCCATCGCTGGGGGGCCTAGCCTTACGACCTGAAAAAATGGGGGACTCATCCCCTACAGTGATACCCCAAAGCCTGGTTTACTATGGTTTGGTTTGGATCCTTTGGCACCATTGAGTTTTGGTTCTCTTCGGGTGATCGGATTCTTGTGTCCGTTTGGACCTAGGTGGCCCGGTGTCCCAATGAGACCTGCACCATCTACACCCTGGATGGTGCCTTGGACCAAGGGGGCCCCTTTGGGGCCCTAAGGGGGCCGTTATGTGGACGTTGTATATGGGGATGATGTGACCCATGGAATTCTTCAGTATTCGGGTGAAAACTGCTGAATCTTCATAGCCATAAGTTAAGGTTAAACAACCAGATTTGTATGGGTTTGTATATTTTCATTTTTGGAAGTGTGGGGGCAGCTCTTTTTGGAGCATTTGAGGATCGCAGGTGTCAGGCAGCCAGTCATCCCACGCAGTGAAATTTTGACTCGGTTCAAGCTCTGGATGCAACTGACCAGATTTTTGGATGATATAATAATATACGACATAATTACGCGAGATATCATTATATGTACAAGACCGAAATGATTTGACTCATTGCCAATTTCTACTTCGACGGCCCCATCTTGCTTTTTCTTTCTTTCTTTATTTCTTTCTTTCTTTCTTTCTTTCCGTCTCTCTCTCTCTCGCTCTCGCTCTGCATATACATATACATAAATATGTATGTGTGTACACAGTTTTTCACCTATTTCAAGTTATTTATCCTCATGTTGCATATGGCATATCTATTTAAAGTTATCAAAGCTTCGCATTGCCAGGTGCTGGCATTCAAAAGATGCATCCCAGACTACTGGAGCCGGGGCCATAGCGTTTTCGGGACCCGGTTAGGGTGAAGCCGTGGCCCGTTCACCCCGGAAAAACCAGGTAATTTGACCTATGCAAAACGAGAGGTAAATCGTCATAAAATGTCATGAATGGATGGTTAATAAATGAACAATTGTCATGAACATGTTATAAATGAACCATTTTCATCCATTTTCCTATATTAAATAACCAGATGGTATTGTTGCTGTTGTGGTTGTCAGCAGCCGCAACGTGCAGATTGACTCGCAAAGTCTTTTCCATGAACCACATATGTTGGGCTCTTTGTAAGTCAGATAGTTGCGTACATCTTTTAACATAGCTATATACCTCAGTTTACCGGAGGTTGTGTGTGTATATATATATAACGCATACAGCACATCATTCCTGAATTCTTTTCAAGATGACGTGTGGAGAATCCCGGCAAGTTTCATCCCCGCCCGGAACTGATTTCTGAGGGCGCTGCGGGAACTGCTGGCAGAGGCACGGCAAGGGACAATCGTGCAATTTCAACTGGGGATACATAAAGACCCAACTTTGTTGATAGGGAACAATTTTGATCGTAATTTACTACTATATTAGGAGGTAAGCCCGCAATGAATAGTCAGGGTTTATTTTACTCCGGGGTTTGCTGTTACATGCATTGAGAGATTATTTTCCCAGCAAAAATATGGTGGTACACCCAATGCAACCATCCCCCTTTTATTACCATTAAAGGTATGGTAAAAGATATCCCATCTCACATTATTTTCACATTTGCAGGCTCCTTGGTGGTGTGCATTTCTTGAGCATACATTTGACGTCTCGTTTTGATCATTTAGATCCCAAGAGTTTTCTGGTGGCAATGTGGCATCTGGCAACCATGCCTAAGTATTCCTAAGCCGGGGAAACTCCTGGACGCTATTGGGCTCTAATGGGCTCTAGCTGTATCTAGTAGACACCTATATCACATCGATTGTCAACCAGAAGTTTTTGCAGAACTTTTGTCGGTTGACCGTCCCATTTTCGCATGTTGTGAACATATTTTTGCTTGACTTTTAGCTGGTCCAATCCCAATTTGCTTCGCCCAAATAGTCGTGTGCAGAAGCTGGTCAAACCCAATTTTGGTTCCTTACAAAGTCTCAATTTCATTGCTTAAATCCCGCAGGGGTGGTTGTGCCCCATGCAAATATCGATTGATCATCCAACTTGATCTTCAGGAGGGTGCCAGACGGATGAAGAAGGTGCAGAGAGATGAGAAGATCCAGGCCAAGTCAGGGGGATCCCAAAGATTTGAAACTTCCAACTTGGATTAAAACAAGGGGACTTTAAATCATCAAAACGGGGGGATTTCGATCATTCAAAATGGGGATCTTCATGGATTTTCTAGTTTGGCATTGGAGACAAAACCAACTGAGGTTGAAGGAAGATGAGGTTCGAACCCAGAAAACCAGCTACAGTGTGTTTCATTTCCACCATGACTCCCGCAGCTGTGGACTCGCCAGGACGTGAACGTCGGCTCAGTGAAGATATGGTAAGTCGACTCCCCCTGCGGTTGGTGCCTCTGCAGGGGTAGTGGGCGCTATGGGATTTGATGATACAGCCTCAAGAGGTATTCTCATATTTCTATATTTATATATTTCTGATGGGGAATTTTGATGCGAATTGGATTTCTATAATTGGCAGGTTGGAATCAGAGGTCTCTCTCTCTCTCTCTCACTCCCTCCCTCCTTCACGAGATTACCAGTTGGAAGCTTGTTGACAGTTGCGGCTTTTGAAAGTATTTGGCGCCCATGTGGCACTTCTTGACGTCAAGTGGTTCCTTAGACGGTGTCCACACGGATACCCGAAATTTGTGATGTCGCAGCCTTTGATGGGTCGCGGTTAAATTTTGACATATTCTCAATCCCAAAATGTGGTGTGCCATGCCGAGCACCACATTCCCAGCCTCCAACCGCTAAATCTTGGCTCACAGAACGGTTCGCGAACAAAACTCCGCGGCTGACGCTGCGATCGCTTCCATCGTGCCGAACGTGTGGCAGCCCACGGCATTCCCTGAAAAGGTGAGAAAGTGAATATCCAAACCTGTGAAAAGGTCACCATAAACAACCTGCCCAACATCTGGAAATTGAATGCCAATATCTGAGTCTGACCACCTGACCACCCTTTATCATTCTACAATATTTTATATATCTATTCCCTTTTAATGCACTCTTGATTTACAAATTTGTCCCCCTCTATTCCCTGCATTTCTTCAACCCAGTTGTGTGCAAGAACTGCATCACAACACCTTTCGAGATCCCAGTCTCAAAAGATAAACAAGTCAATCCCTGCTATTTTCATGGTCATTTATGCTTGTAAGTTGTATATCTCTTTTGGGTCCCTTTTATGCACTGTTCCCTCCTACGTAGTTAATAGATCCTGGTAGCTTCTTTGGAGCAATCCGTCAGCCCGTGCGCTGTCTGTTGCCAAGGGCTGTTTGCCGTATAGGGTTGTGCTGACCTGTTTGACCGAAGAGCACGTATCCGGCATCACTTGATAAGATGTTTGGTAATCCTAGCAAGATCGAAACGGAATTTATCTCTGTAATAGTAGTGTCCTACAATATTCTACATTTCTATCCTTTTGGGTGTGTTACAATGGGTTGCCCATCAAAGATGGAGCTTTGGCTCTGAGAGATCGCCGACCTGGACCGATAACTAGCACCATTGGGATTTATGGAGATGGTCAAGGGTGATTTATATATTTTTTTTTAAATATATAGTTATATATATAATTATATATATATTTATATGACCATCATTTATAGAGGTTTAATGCAGATCTATGACTCACTCTGGCCGAAGTCTGTGCCAGATCCGAAGTGAGCTTTTTTTGATGCTCACCTGGCAGATTCTGCCTGTCAACTTGTGACATCATCCTGGGCTGTTTTGATACCGTACGGAATTGCCAGGGGCTTCAAGACTGACATAGGCTGGGTCATGGTGGCACTGTCCAGTTGTATGGGTGGCTGGAATTTATAGCCTGGAGCACAAGACAAATTTAAAGATTGGATGGGTCAGTTGATTTTCGTGGGTCGGATGATGGACAAGAATTGATGGCCTATACAAGCTACAGCTATACTTGACATCAGGAGTTTGACTTCAAACAAATGCATAGCCCAAGATGCCGAAGCTTTGCTTCCAGCTGTTGCTCCCCCAGGTCCATCATGGAGGCTCGGGACATCCGGGGGTTGCAGAGTTGCTGGGAGAACGTACGGATGATGTCAAAATGATCTCCTTCGATCTGGAGAAACAAATTGAGTTGCTGGGCCCCAGAAGTCTGCATGCTTTCCCAGTGGAGTCATTTTTCATGGAACCAACGCCTCAGCCATCCTCAACCAATGGGTCAATTCACCAAGGTTCCAAAGCAGCGCCACCGAACAAAAACCAGAAGTGTTGTGGTTGGTGTTACTGTTCTGACCCATAAGCCATATACATCCACATGCAACAAGAGGGTATTCCAGGTATTCCATGAGTGGAGTATCGTTGTTATCGCTGGGATACGCCCCCCGAAGTGCTGAAGGTGTCATTGGTGGAAGCAGACGGCCTGCCTGAAGGATGCCTTCTCTCCATCCGATCAGGCCTGAAGGATGCCTAACCATGGGATGTGTCAGCAACCCAGGGGGTCATTTCTGTTGGAGAGTTAGCACAGTTAGCAGCCGGGTTTGACATGACATTTTTTTCTCGCGTAGTTACACCTTATGTTTTGATTGGATCATGTGTAGATCTATTCGCTTTGGGGCTCCTATAGTCTGGCTAGTGGTTAATGTCTATCCCTGGGATGATCAAACCACCAACTAGCCCATGGTCAGGAACCCCCAACAAGCCGCGGCCGCGGCCACAGGCTCCACACGACGACAAGCATCCGTGGATTCCAAGTTCAAGCTCTTCTTCCCCAAGGGAGGAAGAGCCGGCGAGGAAGTCAAGGCCGCCACTGCTTGGCTGAATCAACGCTGTAGTCGGTATAGTGATTCCTTTCCGCGGGTCACGTTGGATGGCTTTTTTTGGGGTCGCTTTGGTGGGGTTGAGGCGGAGATACTTACTAAGCAGCTTAACCATTCCAGCTTTGGCAGGGTATCTAAGTTTGGCTAGGCTCCCCCGATCATATTGGATTGGTTCAGATAGCTCCCAAAATGAACAGACCCAATACTGAACCAAGGTTTCGTGGAGGGTAGTCAAAGTTGGGGTAAGGGCTTCATTGAGTGGCATGTCCATAATTTTCCTTCAAGAACTTTTCTGCGTAAATGATGATAAGCCGTAGCATGCCCTCAAATTTCCCTCAATGGATATTCTTAGTCGAGGCATCAAGTCGCTAAGTCTGCGTCGGAAGAGACTGGTGGATCAAACGATGAAATCGACATAGTGCACCTATCCAGGATGGTCTCGAATGGGGTGTTAGGGCTTATCACCCATATGGCCCATATTGTCATGGGCTGCTCAGTGCCTCGATCCAGCAGGTGGATGCTTTGCTGCCCATCGGTACGCATGTGTGCCTCGTGCTGTGGGAGCAAAGCTGCAGTTGGTGCAGCGCGGGGTATGGGTCAAGATTTGGGATACCAAGACCAGATTTGATGAAGTTTGTTTACCACTCTTCACTACGGACATTTGTTATCGCAATTTGGCAGAGAGCAAGTTTTTCTACATGACATCGGTTCAACAGGTGCACATCAACCCAAACTGGTGATTCAAGCTTCAAATCACAGCATTGGGAGCAATTTTTGGGAAGCTCCAACTGAGGTTGAAGCTGGAGGAAGGCAAGGACCAGTACGAGATGGACCTCAATGGCATGCAGGTCATTTTCTGGTCTCAAAGATGTGCAACATTTCCCATGGTCATTTGGGATTTGTTGGACCCACCAACCTGTCAAGAGACCCTTGCAATGGGACTTGAGGCTTTCGAATTGGTGGGATTCCTGTTGGAAGTATCAATGGGAACATGTTTGGACCAACTGTGACAGCCCGGGCTTTCGTTCCAACGGGGTGGCTGGCGCCCACGTTGTTATTTCTCGCCAAACAATGGGCAGGTTTCCCTGCACATGAAGGAGGTGGAACAGCAACCATTGGAACAGGATGCTGGGTTTGAGGGAAGTCTTGCAAGATACTACGGGTTCTCAGTTCGTTCCTGTTATAATCACCCACAATAGTTTTTCGCACTGTTAGGAACAATCGCCCACCCATATGTTGATGGGTTGATGGTTTACATCACCCATAAAAAGGCTCAAGTTGGGGATGGTTTACAGAAGTCCCTTCAAACCAGGAGACCGGGGCGGGGCCTCAGTGAAAACTGATTGGTGCCCTGACAGCACGCAAGGACGCAGATGCGAAGAACGAGATTGACCCACATGTGCCTGGCCATCGATTCATCGAACTCGATGTTCCATGTGGAGGGTGTCATGGAGAAGCGCCCGGCGCCCTTTAGTGATCTAACTTGATCTAACTCTAGAATCTAAATGGCGAGGGAACTCTGTTTTTAATCAGTAACTCTTCAACACCTGAGGATCTTGCATCGCCAGGTGGTACCAGACTAGAGCAGTTTACAACACTCCAAACAAAGATCGAATAGTTGGACATCGAGAAAAAAACCATCATCAATAATATCTCGGAAAATCTTGGCAAGACATTCGCATACTTTTGGGGGTTCGACCATCCCACCAGCTAACGACACCGAGAATCGCCCAAAGTAGTCTTCAAACCTCCATTTGGAGGATCTATGTCAGCTGGATGCATGGTTCGTTCCTATATTTCCACATGTTTCATCATGTTTCCATATTAACTTTGTGAATTATATATATATATATATTTATCGCAGACATACTTTCCCTTCAATTCCGCATATATATATACATATATATATATATCTTTATTATACATACATAAGTACATACCATACATTACATTACATTACATGACATTACATTACACTACATTACATACATACATACATACATAAATGCATCCATCCATCCATCCATCCATCCATCCATCCATCCATCCATCCATCCATCCATCCAGGCCAGTCATCGGCATCGCGTGGTCGGATGGCCCAGGAAAACACTGGCGGGCCGATAGGCATAGGGCATTGTACAGGAAATACAGGGTAAAAATGATGAGACAACCATGGGATTTTAAGGGATTCCAAGGGATTCTAAGGGATTCTGAGGGCTTCCAAAGAGTTTCAATTTTGGCACCTGGAAGAATCATGGAACTGGAAACGTCTGAGAAGTGGAGGCTCATCCCATCCCAGAAATGGATCCCCTCTGGACGGTCTCCAGTTTGGAATGAATTTGATCCATTCCGCAGTGATTTACGGTGGTGGGCCTCAGCGGAGGCCTTGCGATACAGGGAACCCAAGTGAAAGCTACAAAAACAAGGCATTTTTTTACATTTTTTACATAGTCTTACATGTTTTTACATCTTGAACATCATTTTCACACATTTTCACAATTTTTCACATGCTGTATTTTTCACCTATTTTCCAAGTAGGGGCCGGCGATTCTCAGCCATGTTGCTGGAAGTCGGTGTCATATTGGCGACTGTGAGCGTATGGCATTTCCAAGAGCATCGCAGTGATATCTTGACAGCACCTGGGGCGACTGGGAAGGGTGGGTTTTCCATGGCTGTTGAATCTATATGTCTGTAGCTCTGGAATGTGTGTAGCTATGTTTGAAATCTAATTATATATATATATATATTATAGCTATATCAATATCAGTGTCAATATTTCAATATCCATGTCTATATCTATGTCATAATTCTATACATACATATATATATATATATGTGCAATATGTATGTATCATATGTACAATGCATTTGTTGCGCTTTTCTAGGATGACTTATCATGATTTTATTTCAATTGGCTGTTCTATTCGGGTGACGGGTTGGAACCACCGAACAGCTAGAGTCTGTGTTTGGATGATAGCTGCGTTCCAGGTTCTTTCATGGTTTCCAATCGCGCAAGAAAAGCATAGGTAAAAACCTACCGGCATCCGAGTCAAGAACGGAGAGCTCGACATCGAATTTTTTGATTCTTGTTGGGATGGAAACTTCAACTTCATCCCACTTTATATAATAGAATTCCATTATAAATTATAATTAATCATAATTAATAATTATAAACATCCATTTCCGGGTACCCCCATTTATGGAAACGGCCTTGAGGCCCTGTCGTATGCATGGCGGAGCTTCCTGGGAAAGCCTAAGGGCGGTCTCAAGGACGGGGCCAGGGGCGGAGGGGTGGTCCTTCCCCCTTGCAGTATACTAAACATCTTCCCACAAACCATGGTTTAGTAAGGGATTTACACATAATTAATTAATTCGGACCATTTAGGGGATATTTAATATGAGGGGGATGGGATTACAGAAACAGAAGCAACGGTTTCTTTTTGATGGGGCTTCGATCTGGACACTTGGAAAAGTTGATCCACAGTTGACTGCAAGCAGGGTGCAGTAGCTCAACAATAGCCATGCGTTTTGTTTCGATTGCTGTGCGTTCTTTTGGCATCCCCATGAACAGGTTTTAGAATTTGACAACGCATCAGGCAGCGGTAGAAACCGTCAGTCAGACATGATTTTGCGAAGCGGCCATTGATGCCACACACATTCCAAACACACCAGGACACCAGGGTAGTTACTGTCCCCAAATCCATGTCCGTGAAAGGTTTCAGAACTCCCGACCCAAAGTATCCCAAAGTTTGTCGCAGTTGTTGCTAAGAAGATCCGCCAGCCTTTTTTGGGCACCCAAGTTTGACAAGAAAAAGAACTGTGCAGAAGACTCTCAGCCTCCAGGGCGTAGCCGTTGATCGAGGATTGAGTGATGTCTAATTTGTGAGGTCAAAAAAGTGGACAGATAGATGCCCCAGTCAGATGCTCCCTTGGGTATCTGTCACAGACCTCTCAACCGACCTGAAGCCATACGACTTCTATTTCGAACAAGTCCAACTTGGACCCGTCAGGACTCTGTGAAAAGAAAGAACATGGAAGTCCATTTGAACAAGCTGCGGAGTCCCGGATGCATTCGGTCGAACAGGACCATTTTGCTGCGCCGGTGGCCTCCAATCATTATCGTTTAACAATCGAAAGGCAGTAGGAATTCTCTTCGAGACTCCTTGATGGGTGAGCTACCACCTTGACGGAAAACAATGGCGTGGCCCTTCTGATGCCCTGCCGGTTCCAGTTCGTTCTGAGACTGCTTTCCGAGTTGTTTGTGGGTTGTGTGTTGCCTGTGAACTGACAGCCGCCAAGGATGTTAAATCTCGGCATTTGTGCCCGCATGGGGGTTCAAACGCAGCTAGCGACCTGGCACGATGGGGACCTGATAGAGGAGATGATTGTAGGCCGAAATCCGAACTGGTCATTGTCACAGACTTCGATGAAGGGAACTCTGAAAGGACCCCGACAATTGGTTTAATGTTATGATACGAAACCATCAGAAAACATGGTGTCCTCAACATTTTTAACAACCCACGTGACATCGAGAAAGAACTGGCTGCTCTTCTATCATCCTGTCCTGCAACGGTAGCTCGTTGAGTTCAAAGCCATCCGATTGTATATATATATAGAGATGATGTATCCAACCATGGCTAGCCTAAGACATATTGGTTTAGCATTAGATCTTTGCATTCTTGGGTTCTGTATCGGGGGTAGCTATGAGTTTGAAGATTATAGTTTCATAGAAAACTTCCAGTGGCTATGTTGTTGGTATTAGTTAACATTATGAGGAGGGGACTGTAAATTGACATTTAATCTGACACCACTCAAAAGAGGTGTTGCACCATGCACGTCTCTGGGACTGCTCAGATTTTGATGATCTTTGCAGCGAAGAAAGTGTCGGACGGCTATGAAGCTCATCCGCAGCTATACTCTCTGGTAATTTAACGTAGCCATGGAAAATCAGGAGTAAACCATCATAAATCATCTATAAACGGGTCATTTTACCATAGCTATTTTAATAGCCAAAGGGTAATCGTTAACTCTGGGGTGAAGGGGTGGTGCAATTTTGATATGCCATATGCTCTAATGACCATGAACCTCCTACTTGTAGGACCCAACCGGGGGTTATTTATCCAGGGTTGATTGCATCAATACCCAACTCGTCCCAAGACCAGTTCAACATTTTGTTTTTTTGCTTCAGGATGATTTGATCTAGGTTTAACAACGTGCAAAGTTTAAGAGGAAGCCACTGGGGTGCCTGGGCTTTGTCCAAAAACAGTGATGTACAATCATTTCAGCATGCGAGAAGAGAGACGAGGACGGGACACCTGTGGGAAAGCATAGCCCAGTTGGGTTTGTCCCCTTTGGGCACCTCAAAATCCACTGATCTATCATTAATTTGCAAAAAAAGAGATGGCAATTTTGGGGCACCCCCTAATTTCAGACGCACTCATATCAGCTTGTTGGTGAATATTCTCAACATGCGCATATTATTGTTGGTGAACCCACCATTTACTGTTGGTGAAGCCATCACACAGAACACCAGATGGTACCAGCATATAGCCACCAATCCATCATTTCTAGTGATCTCTGTTAGTTCCTGTGTTGACTAGCGCAGCCATGGAGTTGACGGCAAGGAAGACGCCTATTGGGATGTTCTCTTCAGGGCTTGCCTCTATGCTACCCAGTAGAATGGTGCCCGTGGCGGTTGGGTGAGGCTTTACATGGTCGACTTTGGAGCATACCCCAAGAGCTTGGGACACATGGTTTTGTAAAGGTTGGAATGTCCCTGCTGCTCCTGCACAAGCACACATGTGCATGTTTGTGTATGTATGTATATATATATATGTGTGTAATATATATATATATACACAATGTCTAATACCTAATATATATATATATATTTATATTTATATTGATATTGATATGACATATTTGATGCAAGTATATGGTGTTTATCATTGTTGGTTTAATCAACATTTCGATCTATGTATGATTCTAATGGGTTCGGCCCGGGTTTGGTGATGCCCTGTGGCTCCCACCCCACCCCACCCGTGAGGCGCCGTCCCCTGGGGGTTTCCACCGTGATGCTCCAAGGTTTGTTTCAGTTGCGCCAGTTTCATCTCCAAGCGCGACATGTCCTACACCATTCGTCCGCTGTGTTCCTCGGTTTACGTCATCGGTTTATTTTGTCTCCTCCCACCCTATTTACAAGTGGATCTTTGACCCATAGCATATTATACCCCCAGTTATATATGGGATATCCCCGGTTATATATTATGGGTTGTAAACCACTTACTATGTGGGATGCACCCCCGCCCAAGAGAGGTGTGGAAAACATTTCTTGTTTTTTTTTAGGTGTGGGTTTTTGATGCCAAACAAATCATGAGTTGCCGGATAAACTCGGATACAGTATGCACAGTGCTGGGGAGCCCATTTCCGGCCAGAAGAAAACCCTCGGATTATGCTGGAGCTTCCGCTTCAATAGCAGTTGACCTGACAGTACTGCCCTATACTGATTTCAAGTTTGGGACGCAGCTTAAACTTTGGTAAGCTTCTGGTAACTTCAGGCAGCTTCACCCTAGGTTCCAAGTTCTAACATGAAGAAAACATGACCATCCGCTGCCTGTACTCGAACAAGCTTTCTCGGGCCCATCAGGCCTTTGCTTTTACATCGCCTTGCTCGGAAGGATGTGGGCTTCCAGGTTGCATAGGGCAGGCGGTTGGTGTTTTCAATGATTTATTGAAATTCTCTCTGAAAATCGGATGATGATCACAATTGACTTTCTTTTCACAAAAGCTAGCTCCTGCTAGCTGAAATCCCTCTTGCGTTAGCAAGGTATTGGGGGGGGGCTGGAATCTCCAATCGCATGAAACTTCATACTTAACTACCCCCCCTCCCCGGCTGGCTGCACAAGCAGTTTGGCCGTGGCTCAATCCCCCCGGGGACACCGTCGGCATGTCCCCAGCAGCAGTAAATTCGGCAGCATCCGCATCCTCTGTGTTTTCATGCCAAGCTCCCTGCCAAGCTAGCTTTCATCCCGTACCCCTGGGCCTCAAGTTTTTGAGATGGGTTGACAACCAGACAAGTTTCAAGCTGGCCGTTGTGATTTTACGGCGCAATGGCCCTGCGGTTTCTTCATGTTTCTTCTTTCCCCACATCTTTGTGTGGGGTTCTTGTTTTTGATTCTGTACCACCCCGCTCCTCCTCCGCCGCCTCCTCCTCCGCCGCCCGTCTGCTCACTCACACAACATCTTTCACACACAATCTTTCGCACACAATCTTTCTTCACACACACAATCTCTCTCACACACCATCTTTCACACACAATCTTTCGCACACAACTTTGTCACACACCAATTTTCACACACCACTTTGTCACACACCACTTTGTCACACACCATCTTTGTCACACACCACCTTTGTCACACACCATCTTTCACACACACAACTTTGTCACACACCATCTTTCACACCACTTTGTCACACACCATCTATCACACACCCATCTTTCACACACAACTTTGTCACACACCATCTTTGACACACCACTTTGTCACATACCATCTTTCACACACCATCTTTGTCACACCACTTTGTCACACACACCATCTTTCACACACCATCTTTGTCACACACCATCTTTCACACCATCTTTGTCACACACCATCCATCTTTCACACACCATCTTTGTCACACACCAGCTTTCACACACCATCTTTCACACAATTTTGTCACACACACACACCATCTTTCACACACCACTTTGTCACACACCATCTTTCACACCATCTTTCACACACCACTTTGTCACACACCATCTTTCACCACACCATCTTTCACAGATAACTTTGTCACACACCCACTTTGTCACACACCATCTTTCACACACAACTTTGTCACCGCGCCACTTTGCGTGGCAGGCGTGGCATTTGGTGACATTGACGTTCCATGTGCGTGTCAAGCGTGGCACTTGGTGACATCCACCTTCACTTTGCGTGGCAGGAGTGGTACTTATGGCACTGGGCTGGCTCTGGTGGCGCGCTTGCGCGCGTTTTAATTGCCGGGGCGCGGCGCCACTTTGTGTGGCAGCCGTGGCACTTGGTAACATTGACGTTCCATTTGCGTGGCAGGCGTGGCACTTGGTGACATCCACCTTCACTTTGCGTGGCAGGTGTGGTACTTATGGCACTAGGCTTGCTCTGGTGGTGCGCTTGGGCGCGTTTTAGTCGCCCGGGGCGCTGCGCCACTTTGCGTGGCAGGCGTGGCACTTGGTGACATTGACGTTCCATGTGCATGGCAGGCGTGGCACTTGGTGACATCCACCTTCACTTTGCGTGGCAGGCGTGGTACTTATGGCACTGGGCTGGTTTGGTGGCGCGATTGGGCGCGCTTTAGTCACCCGGGGCGCCGCGCCACTTTGCGTGGCAGGCGCGGCACTTGGTAACATTGACGTTTCATGTGCGTGGCAGGCGTGGCACTTGGTGACATCCACCTTCACTTTGCGTGGCAGGCGTGGTACTGATGGCACTGGGCTGGCTCTGGTGGCGCGCTTGGGTGCGTTTTAGTCGCCCGGGGCGCTGCGCCACTTTGCGTGGCAGGCGTGGCACTTGGTGACATTGACGTTCCATTTGCGTGGCAGGGGTGGCACTTGGTGACATCCACTTTTACTTTGCGTGGTTTCACACATCACTTTGTCACACACCATCTTTCACACACCATCCTTCACACACCAATTTGTCACCCACCATCTTTGACACACCATCTTCCACACCATCTTTCACACCACTTTGTCACACACCATCTTTCACACACCACTTTGTCACACACCATCTTTCACACACCATCTTTCACCACACCATCTTTCACACACAACTTTGTCAAACACCGTCTTTCGCCACACCATCCTTCACACACCACTTTGTCACCCACCATCTTTGACACACCATCTTTCACACCACTTTGTCACACACCATCTTTCACACACCGTCACAGACCATCTTTCACACACCATCTTTCACACATCACTTTATCACACACATCTTTGACACCATCTTTCACACACCAATTTGTCACACACCATCTTTGACACACCATCTTTCACACCACTTTGTCACCCACCATCTTTGACACACCATCTTTCACACCACTTTGTCCCACACCATCTTTCACCACACCATCTTTCACACACAACTTTGTCACACACCATTTTTCACCTCACCATCTTTCACACACACAACTTTGTCACACACCACTTTGTCACACACCATCTTTCACACACCACTTTTTCACACACAATCTTTCACACACACACACAGCTTTGTCACACACGCTCTCTCTCTCTCTCTTTTTTTGACACACAACTTTCACACACAACTTTCACACACACCATCTTTCACGCACAACTTTGCCACACGCACACACCATCTTTTTTTGTTTTGTCACACGCTCTCTTTCACACACAACTTTCACACACACCATCTTTCACACACAACTTTGTCACACACACACACACCATCTTTCTTTGTCACACACCATCTTTCACACACAACTTTGTCACACACACACACACCATTTTTCTTTGTCACACACCATCTTTCACATACAGCTTTGTCACACACAACTCTTCACATACAACTTGTTTTACTTCCCGATCCTCCACCACCGCCTTTGTCTTTCCTTCCTTCCCCGTCCCCGCTACAACATTTGTTGCTCATTATTGGAAGAAGTTGACTTGTGGGGTTGTCCGGTCCTTTAATTGTTTCTTTGGCGCCCATTTGCTGTGCTAGCCATGGCCGGTCCAAGGCGTGTTTTGACATGCAGCAGTACCACGCAAACCAAGCATATGTGGTAGCTTGGTGGCACAGCGCAGAACTTGAGATCCTCCAAGGTAGGCTGAGGCAGCAGCTGTTTGTTTCAATATTATTGAGCATCTTTCAGCCGTGCAAATCCACACGCGCACACACACACATATATATATAATATATATATAATATGTAATATTGTATAATACAGGATTAGCTTTACATAGATCTCCAACTTGGCTGGGATGGTGTCACTTCGCCATTCCAGCTGGAATATTAGGGAGTGCAATCATGTTGCCCACAACCCAGTGCATTCGGCATCTTTAGCAGGTAGGGAAAACCTGCTTGATGGCAACGCTCTTTGTGGACATGTGGGTGGCGATACCCATGGGCATCTTTATCAGTCCCTTGACTCCCAGGTTTCGATGAAGGGATTGACGGTAAAAACTATGGTTTCCCGCAAGATTTCCCGTCCATCCTTTGTCAATCACAATGCCGGTCAGCAGGGTCCAACTGCAATTGATCCCACTGGTAGTGGAGGATGAAGAGACTTGAGGCGCATTCCTTGGGCGTTTTGAGTCTGTTGTTCGAAACGGCCAAATATGAAGAAATGAAAAAGAATGGATAGGCACATCCATGACCAACAGGAAATTCTGGCGTATGTTCACTTGCCACAACTGGTTTTGCTTTTGTTCTCCGCAGTGTGTCAATCCCAGCATTGGTTTAAAGATGTTGAAAGGAACACGTCCAGGGAAAAACTCATATTGGCCAAATTGACCGCGAAATCCACTATCACACATTTCCAATCAATTTGTAGATTTTCTCTAAACTCAAGTGGGTGTGGGTAAAACAGAAAAAAACACCAAAATAGGGGGATTTCAGAACATCAAACAGGCCGCGCGATGGGTGCATTATGCTTGAGCCATCCCCTCCCAACCCAAGTGCAGCTACCATTGGGGTGATCCCCATGTGCAATCTTTTCCATGCGGGTGATACACTGTCTACGTTGGGTTACTGCAAGTACCAATTTGGATGGCTGGTTAGATAAGCAATTATAGCTTTTGAGGATGAATTTGTCGCTTTTGTGGGTTAGAACTTCTGACAGTGAAAGCCACAGTTGTTCATGGTTGAATCCACATTTCTGATTCCTAAATCTAAATTTAAGACTAAATCGCCAATGATTCCCGGCATTTTTTGATGGCTAAATCCCAACTTTTGATGGTACCATCATCATTTTTGATACTCAAATCACAATTTTCGATGGTTAAATCCTCATTTTTGATGGGAAAACTTCCAATTTTTGCTCTACAAGCAACCCATGGCACCAAGGTTTCTTGGATGCTCGGCTCTTCATTTCCCACGGCGGAGACTTGGTGGACAACGAGGTCTCGAGCCGAGTTCCATGGCGGAGATCAGATAAAAAAATCACGCACACATATATGATTCATTATGATCATATGATTTATATGTCTATGTACATTTCTATGCCTGTGTCTATGTCTATGTCTATGTATATATATATATGTATCTGTATATGTATATGTATATGCATATGGAATATATCATATGTAATTATATATGATTGTATATGCATGTATACATGCAGACATCACCTGTTAATGTCTTGATGCTGTTACCATAAGTAGGATTTTACATTATCTCGTGTTTAATGACCAGAACGGGACCCAACTCCAGTTGGATCATCTGAGGTAGCAGTGTTGATCCTGTACATCTTCATTCCTACCGTGGCTGAGTTGACTGCCAGGAGATTCATCCAAGGTGCTCCGGGAAGATCTGTGTGCTAAGGAACTGTGGCAAGCCCGACAGTAACCGTTACTCAGTAACCATTGTTTTGTGTGTATGGCCTTCGTTAATATTCCCCCCCCACATGGTAATAATTTGGTTAGATAGAGCATGGTTTATTATGGTTTTTACTTTTTTCACACTAAGAGACCCAGCTCGCATTTTGCACCAGGTATCAGGTAGGATGCTCATCTAACTAGTGCCTGTGCTGAGTGCCTCACTGGGGATGTGTTGGATGTGTTGGATGTGTTGGTGCGGGTCCTTCGGATGTTTCAGTGTAGGGTGACCTCAGTATGAAGGATGGTTTTTGCGGCGGGCAATCCAACATGACCTCAGATCAGGTTTGGGATGACAGATCAGTGGGATTGTTGGATGGTATTCACTGTACAAGCTAGGGGTATAACATGTCAATAGTGGATCTTGATTGATAATTCTTCCGATTCTGCTTGACGAAATCTACATACTGCATTTCTTGGTGAAATTCCTATTTCAACTGTACACCACTTCGCACAATATCTAAGATACCCTGGCTGAGTGTTGGGTTTCTTCATTTTGGCTCCAAATCTGTGGAATCTAACATGATCCTGGGCCGTTTGTACAAAGATCTCCTTAGATCTTTGTCCATGTGCCCCAATCGCTCCGGCAGGCTTGCTGGATGCACATCTGATGGTTGCCGGCTTCCGGAAGATGTTGAAAGGCATCAGTGATGGAGAATTCTTAACCGCCGCCTGGCTCTGATTTCGAGATAAGATGACAGGGTAATGTCTTCCCCGTTGAACGGCAATTTTGGATGAGAACATGGGTGTGGTTCAGAATTGTCAACCCCCCATTGGATTGTAGAATGGGTGCTGCAATCTTCAGCATGGTCATCAAACCCGGCAATGGCAAATGGTTTCTTGAAGGGGAAAATCATGTGGCTGAAATCATGAAGGGAGACTAATCTAATCTTCAAAAACTTTGATGTTTGATCCAGAGATGATTTCCTGTGCACAGACGGGTATTTTCCCAGCCATGTTTGATGACCAGTACTTGATGGTTTCCAAGGGGTCTGGTCTGATTCAGATTGGAAGATAGGAATCCTGACAAAGTGGGTTTCATGTGGAGGATTTTACCGGTGATGGTACCCAGATTACAGTCTCGAAGCCCTAGCCGCCAAACCAGCTCAAGCTAGCTCCGATTGAAGAAGTTTCTCTGAAGTTTCAAAAGATTTTCATTTTGGCCTTTGTTTCTTTAGTGCTTCCGGTGCGCTACTCTTGATCACCTCGCAACGGTGATCTGTGGTTTGTGCTACTAAGATGTTTGTCTGCTCGAGGTATATTTGAAAATATTTGGTTGAGATTCAATTTAGTGGCATCCCAGCGAGTTCTCTTTTGCTCCCACCAAAAAGCTGATGTCAAAGAACCCCGCAAGATCTGAGGACAGCAACTTTAACATCCATGGTGATGCCAAGTGCCTTGAGAATCTCTTGGCCCTGAATGCGGAGCTCACCGGAACCTCCTTCCTGTCTTGGCTTTGGGATGATAAGGAGACCGCGGGGCGGTGGTTGGGCTGCTGCACTTGACTGTGGCCGGATCAGTGATCCCTTTCCTTGGGTGATACCAACTCATGTGACATTGACTGCCCAGTGGATGTTCGGGGTATCAAAATGCCATCCCCTTCGGGCCCTTCGGGTCCTTCGCGAGGAACAGCACGCATTTCAGCAGTTTGTGTGGACAGATGCTCTGCAAATGGGGTGCTCAGGGAACACCATGATTTTGACATAGGTTCCTGATGCATTTTTTCAGAATAGTCTTGAGTCTTAGTTCTCCCTGACACAGGAAGTACGAGTTAATCAGCTCTCAAATGTTCGCCTGCTCGCCAAGCAATGCAGTTGGAATGACGTTCAGCTATGCCCCGTCCTGGAAATCCCATGGAAAATCAGCTACCAAGGACAAAGAGGAGGAGAGTGCGCCAGGCTGTTTGCGAATCCACTTGAGGAACTCAAAGGGGCAAAGCGTAGCCTTAGATGCTTGTCCCTTGGCACTGGGGGGATGATGGGATGGTGGTGCCGGCATGGGGTTGGTTTCTTGCCGCCCAGTTGAAGCTTCTACATGCGTGCCACAGGTCTTGATTTGATCCAAGGGTCCTCATTTGGTCCTTAATACCTATCATTACCTATTTGTTTGTCTATCTATCTATCTATCTATCCATCCATCTATCTATCTATCTATCTCTCTCTCTCTCTATCTCTCTATCTCTCTATCTCTCTATCTATATCTTTATCTTTATCTATCGCTCTATCTATGGCTCGATCTATCGCGCGATCTATCGCTCCATCTATCTATCTATCTATCTATCTACCTATCTCTCCCTCTCTCTCAATCCAATCTATCTTAGCTCAGCTTAGCTTATCTTGGCTTATCTTTTCTTATCTATCTGACCCCCCTATCTATCTAATCTATCTGACCTATTTAATCTACCTAATCTATCTATATAATCTATCGAATCTATCTAATCTATCTCATCCATCTAATCTTTCCAATCTACTTATTCTAAATCAAATCAAATCTAATTTGAATCTAATCTAACCTAGTCTAATCTAATCCAACCTTATCTAATCAATCTAATCTTATCTAATCTAATCTTGATCTAATCTATCTATCTATCTAATCTAAGTCTAAGTTTTAAGTCTGAGCCTAAGTCCAAATCTAAATCTAAATCCACAGGTAATCTAATCTAAATCAAATCAAACCAAATCAATCTGTGCTAGCCAACCTATGTACCCGTCTATATGTTTGCTTATCTATCTCTATGTCCATGTTACATCGATGCATGTAGATCTATCTAAGATATTAGTATTGATCTAAAGGTCATTGTAAACAGTTTCTGTTTGCGATGACCGATCGTATCGTATGACCGTTCATATCATGTGTCTATCCCTCGTGACAGCTCACACAGATAGATAAGAGAGACAGAGAGATAGAGAGATAGAGAAATAGAGCGATAGAGAGATAGGTTGATCGATCGATCGCCTGATAGATAGATAGATAGATAGATAGGTAGATAGATAGATAGATAGATAGATAGATAAATAGATACGTCAAGATAAGAAATGATCAGATAAGATAAGAACAAATAAGATGAAATAAGGTAAGAGGGATACAATATGGGAAAGACAATGATAGGATAGGATGGAATAGGAATAGGATTAGGAATAGAACAGGAATAACTAGGATTACAATTAGGAATAGAATAGGATAAAATCGATAGAATAGAACAGAATAGATAGAATAGATGGAATTTCATAGAAAATCCAAACAGATAGAACAGCTAGAATAAAACGAATAGAAAAGAAAAGAATGCGAATAGAGAAGGCATAGGATTAGGAATAGAAGAGAATAGAATCGGATCAGGAATAAAATCGGATAGAATAGATAGAATAGCATCGATAGAATAGAAAACAAAGCATAGAATAGAATAGAACAGAATAGAACAGAATAGAATATAACGGATAGAACAGATAGAAAACATGGAATTGATAATTGATAGAATAGATAGCACAGATAAAACGGATAGAATAGATAGATGGAATGGATAGATAGAATAGATAAAACCAATAGAATGGATAGGATAGATGGAATAGATGGAATGTTTGGAATAGATAGATCAGATAGAATATCAAAATAGTGAACAAGTGGGATATGCAATGGTATGCATAAACAGATTGGAGGGTCTGTCTAAGTTGGCTTCACCAGTTATGTGTCCCTTATCAACCTTCACTACTGTCAGTGGGTGCGTTTGTCCAAAAACGGACGATCACCAAATATATCGCAATGTCCTTTTTTTGTTAACATGTTTTTCACAGACTCACCTGGAGTATGTAACCATTAGAAAATGTGAAGTTGAAAGTCACTGCCAAAATCCGGCATCCAAACAGAAGACCTGGGATAAAGAACGGCAACAATCCATCCATCCAGGTTCAACCAGTTGCCATTGAAACCTCATGTTTCGTGGTATTGACCACTATCAACCCATATAACATCAAGTAAATGGATAGAAAAGAAGAAAAGACAGATTAGACAGAATAGATACACCGATACAATAGATAGATTTTCACAGAACAAACAGAATATAACGAACAGATAGACTAGATAGAACAGATGGAATAAAGAGAATACAACGAATAGATAAATTAGAATTAACAGATACAATAGATAGAATAGAAAAAGTAGAAAAGAACAGACCAGCATGGAAAAACATTGGCATAGGATTAGGAATAGAATAGAACAGGAATGGGACAAGGAATGGGATTAGGATTAGAATAGGATAGATAGAATAGACAAGAAAAGAATCGAGTAGATAGAGTAGACAGAACAGATGGAACAGATAGCATAGATATGCATAGATAGCAAAGATAGAATAGATAGAATAGATTGACTAGATAGAATAAATAGAATAGATAGAATGAATGGAATGGATAGAAGAAATAGAAGAAGCAAAACAGATAATAGATAGAATAGATAGACTACATAGAATGCATGGTTTATTGATAGAATAGAGAGAATAGATTGAATGAATAGAATAGAAGAATTGAGAGATTAGACAGAATGGATGAAATATATAAAATGTCGAAAAAGTGCATGCCGTTGTGGCGCGAAGCATATTTCGAATTCAAAATGTATAAAACACCTCAGTGTCGGACCACTTTTGGAAGTTGTGATGTCAAAAAAGTGCACGCCGTTGTGGCGCGAAGTCAAAATGTACAAAGCACCCCATGTTCAGACCGCTTTTGCCACTTGAGATGTCGAAAAAGTGCACACCGTTGTGGCGCCAAGCACATGTCGAGGTCAAAATGTTTAAAACACTGCATGTTCGGACCACTTTTGGACGTTCAGATGGTTTCGCGTGGCAGTTGCGGTGGACTGTACACCTTACCAAACGTAAGCAAAACATGAAGATTTTGTAGCAGTTTCAACTACGATCATTACACTTCACTGCACTAACTACAACTACAACTACAATTACAACTACAACTACACCAATGCAACTGCATTACACTACAGTACGCTACGCTACACTACATAACACTACGCTACACTACACTAAGCTACACTACACTACCCCACATTACACTACACTACACTAACTACAACTACAACTACAGCTACAGCTACAAATACACTTCACTACACTACAAAACACTTCACTACACTAACTACAACTACAGCTACAACAACAACTACATCTACAATTACAACTGCAACTACAACTACACTACATAACACTTCACTTCACTACACTGCAGTACGCGGCACTACTCCACACTGCACTACCTACACTATACACTACACTGCAATTGCAACAGCAACTACAACTACGCTACAAAACACGTCACTACACTACACTACGCTACGCTACACTACACCAATGCAACTGCGACTACAATTACAACTGCAACTACACTACACTACACTACGCTACACTACGCTACGATACACTACGCTACACTAACTACAACTACAACTGCCACGACAACTGCAACTACACTACGCTACACCACACGACACTACACGACACGAAACGACACGACACGACACGACCCACACCACACCACACTACACTACATAACGCTTGACTACACTAAATAACATTTCACAACAATACACTACGCTACACTAACTACAACTACACCTACAGCTGCAATGCAATTACAACTACGCTACCCTACACTACACTACTTTCATTGCACTACGCTACACCACACCACACTACACTACACTAACTACAACTACAGCTACAATACAACTTTGCTTTACACTACACAGCACTACGCTAGACTACACTACACTACACTGCTCTACATTACATTACGCTACGCTCATTACACCACCACAAATGCAACTGCAACTGCGCTACACTACTTTCACTACACCACAAGTACCACCTCACTAGACTACAGCTACAACTACAGCTGCGCTACACCACACTACATCCAGCAGTTGTGGGTGAGGTGGCCGACCAGGTGACCACTGCAACCATTGTAACCACTCCAAAATAGACAACTCCAACCGCCTTTCAATCCATCAGTGGATTTGCTCTGCCATCCGTGATTCACAGCAACCAATCTCTCCTGTAGGTTTCCTATTTTTGAAACTCCCGCCGCCGCCTTGTGCGGTACTACTGGTGGCTAGGCAGAATAGATAGCTAGAATAGATATAATAGATACGTAGAACAATAGAGAGATGAGAAAGAATAGAAAGAATAGAACAGGTGGAATAGATAGAATAGGTTAAAAAATAGAATTGACAGATGCAATAGATAGAATAGAAGAATGGACGGATTAGACAGAATTGACAGAATCGATAAAATTTTGAGATAGAATAGATAGAATAGACAGAGGAAACCGAACAGATAGAATAGATAGAATGGATAGAAGATACCGAACAGATAGAATAGATAGAATAGATGGAACACATCGAACAGAGAGAATTGATAGAATAAATAGAATAGATAGAAGCAAAAGAACAGATAGAATAGATAGAATAGAGCGAATAGATCAAATAGACCAGATGGAATAGATAGAATAGATAGAGGAAACCAAACAGAAACAAATTGAACGAATGGATAGAATTTCATTGAATAATCCAAACAGATAGAATAGATAGAGTTTTTAGAATAGGTAGAATTGATAGAAGAAACCAGGCAGATAGAATAGATAGAATATAGATAGAATAGATAGAATATAGATAGAATATAGATAGAATAGATAGAATAGATAGAATATAGATAGAATATAGATAGAATAGATAGAATAGATAGAATATATATATATATATAGACTATATAGATAAATAGATCACCAAGTTTTCAACAATATCGTTTTATTTCCAATTTTTCTTGTCACATCACCGGTCCTTGAGGCCACGTGAAGGTGCCAGATTTGTTTGGAGCCGTGCAGCCGCTGCTTGGCTGTAAAACCCAGGGTATATGGATTGAAAAGAAGAAAACTGCGAATGGAATCAATTAATGGAGGGCCACGGCTGCAAAATGTTGAGCAGCAAACACGGGTCTTTTCTCATCCAATAGTGGGGCACAGACTACAGAGACTTGTTTTTGAGGGTAAGGGACGCTTCGCACCCGAACAGTGCCTACTTTCCCTATTCTGCCAGGTATCACTTGATCGCGCTGAAAGAAGACCCTGAGCAGGTCATCGAAGACCGGCCCGATGCCCAGGTTGCAGCTTGCCGTGCACATCGCGTGGGCGAACCCACCGTTTTGGGATGGGTGGTGGTGCTGATTTCTGGGGATTTCACGGATTTGGTGAAGACACACACTCGTTCATACCATTGTACACCCGGAAAAGAAAATAATCAAGCAACACCATGGGATTTCATCATCAAAGATTAGGATTAAAAGCAACAAAAAATAACCACGTCGTGGAAGGTGATGGAAGTGACCCAAAAAACACCGCATTGGAATTCTATTTGCCACGCATCTGCCCCAATGGGGCGTTGGACCAACCTGACCTTGCAAAAACTAAATTCACTTGCGAAAGTTTGGCGAAAGCAAAAAACCACGAGAGAAAATCCATTATGGGATAAAATCTATAAATATCATTATCCCTATTTCCAGCTATCCTTGCCCAGGCGGGCTCCTTACCACCCCAGCTGCTGACCTCAGACCAGCGCAGCAACAGGGCGGCGGCGTCCAGCTCGGAGGTACCGGGCAAAGCCATGGGCGGTGAATCAGCCATGGGGAGAGGGATTTTATAGACTGATTTATAGGCACTTAGAGGGATTTATAATGATTTTAGAGGGATTTTACGATTTTAGAGGGATTGTATGGAGATTTATGTCGCACTACGGTAACGACACTTAACTTTGTGGGAAGAATTGGGAAGATAATTTTTTTGGTGGCGGCTTTCCCGGACAGGTTTCATTTTCGTCAAGATTTTTCTTGCATTTGAATGGTTCCCAAGTCGGGGTCGTTTTTGAGTCTCTTTGATACGACCAGCTGAAACTTAGCCCCAACTTGCTCCAATCTTCCATGATCTTCCATGTATATACAGTAACCTTGGTATAACAGCTTCATTGGTCAATTCTAGGCTAATCAGCGGCTGATACGAATGAACCGAATTTATATCTGACTATGCAAAGGTGAACTTTTTTGCTGTGTGGCCTAGCTTCTATGCTGATAGTTTGGTAATTTGGGTTGATGGTCTGGAACTCTTAGAGGCCCTATGACCCTATGAGGGAAAGGACACAGGAAATGGGGATTTCCAGGGTCCGAAACAACCCAAACCACCAGCCGTTGAGTGGTAGATACCTTAGGTCCCAAGCTAAGGTATTAATCAGCCCCTGATAAGGGTCTGATGGAGCAACCTACAAGGCCTTGCTAATAAAGCCTTGCTTGGTACCCGTGGGGGTACTCTTATTGGTTTCAAGACACTTTTCTCTCCCATCTTTGGAATTTGGGATGACCATCTCGACTCTCGAGGGCTCACTTTGCAGCTCCTGCATCGTGGATTCCATGAAGGAACTCTCGGCTTCTCGGCACTTTTGGCGTTTCACGGGCAGGGTTCCTATCTCGGTGCGAGAGATTTAAGGTTGGACTTTGATTGTTTCAAGTTTCAGGCATCAGAAAAAAACTTGTGTTTCAACAACAAAAGCTTCGATGCAACAAACCATCGTGCTGTGACATCTGCTTGGTTTCAAATCTTACATCGTTTTCACGTCCCGTTCCTCATAACATCTGCCTCGAAGAGGCGAAGATGTTCGCTTTGGGCTGGTTCGAAGTTCAAAATCGAGCATAGCTTCGCCCCTGAAGGTATTAAAGTTATTAAAGGTTCGCCGAGGCTGTTTTCTTTTGGCTATGAGGACTACTTTTGGGGGTTTTCAATGACAAAGTGATAGATCCGTTGGTAGGGTGTCTGAACTGACATTGATGTCACATTTGAGGAACCCTATTCTGCCCTATTCTCCCGAACGCCCAAAAACCACTTCCTGCATGCATGGTCAGCTCTGCAATCATTTGAGCCCATCATCGACCTCTTCAATAGACAAACCATCCAAACCGGTGGGGCCCTGCTGCTCCATATGGTTGTTTCACTCCCCCAACACCTTCTTCAACAGTGACATCATGCCACAGAAAAAAGAGTTCAATGACCTGCGTTATTCGATCTTCGACCGATGGCTTGAGGAAATGACCTTTCTGTTGGATGGCAGCTCAGAGCACTTTGACATGTTGGAGGCCCATTGTCTATTCCAAGTGTGGAAAAGCTGGGGCAGTAGGGCTGCCACCTGATTTGAGAAGACGCTCGAAATTGGGACGGAGGATTTTTCAGCAGAAGGGTCATTTTGGGCCATGTTGCTTCACAGCATGGTGGATTTTGGAGGTTCCTCCTAGGGGACGACATGCCAAGTTTTCACTGCAGATCGGGGCCAGCATCACTTAGCGTTTGGTGTGCCAGTTCCAGCATTGGCTGGGGGGAAGATTCAGAGCACGAAACAGTCACCAGATCTCCTCAAAATGGTTGAGCTTCGCTTTTAGGGCTCCCCAGAAAAGCGTGAAGACCATGGTTGCCGATCACTTTTCCATACCTTTCAAAATCCATCCCAAAACATTTGCTTCACGTCATTCACGTCATTCACGTCATGGCACGAGGCACACCTCCGCTTCAACCGGGTGACGGATGACTTGACCTCTGCAATGCCGCACTTGAGGAAGTTCGCAAGGCCAGTGGATTGGGGTTGGCTCTCCAATGACCCTTGGCCGACCTTGGCCGAGCTTGGCCGGGTCACCGTTTGGATCGTTTGGTACTTGCCGAGAGGCAAAAACACCTGGTGCCAGAGAATTTTGAGACAGTGGGAGCCAAGAATTGGCAACTGGGGCCATAGCCCCCCACTCAGCAAAATCAGAGGGGTTGAAACCATTATCCAGTTTTGGAGGTGCGGCGCCACTAGGGACCATGGGGCCCAATTTCATCCCAATCAATCAAGTTTTGTTCTCCGCGATCATGAGCACACCAGTTCCAAATGTCTTCGATATGTGCCATCATTGAATGAGGATGACTTGGATAGTTCAAATTTTGTCACGACCGAACAATGGATGAGACATTCCAGTAGAGAGGGGAGCTTCGCAGCTTGAAATCCGTGGATGTGAGCCCCAAAATCAAGCTCTGCCACCCAGGATATCGCTCAATACATTTGGACCGGCTTCTCGCAAACCTCAGTTCCAGGGCCGATCTCAGTAGGTCCTATGTTCTTCCGCATGCCGTACGACTCATCCAGGTGCGATATGCAGAGCAAATCCAGGATTGAAACAACGATAATGGCTCTCATTGCTCGTTTCGCCATGTTTTGCGGAGGTTTTTTTTCTGTTTTGGGACACCGTTCAAACTGCGCCGGATTCGTTTTTCGGTTTGATGTCCAGGTACCTCCTGGCCAAGCATGCCCAGTTGTCTCTGGCTTCCCCCTTGTTCGTCCATGGCAACAGCGAGATGGATCAGGAGGGCGATGGCATCGATGGCCAGGCCGGCCAAGCCTCGTCGTCTCCACGGCCCATCCGCTTGTACCTGCACCTGAAGAATTTCGCACCGGGGGAGCTGCCGCACAGATCCAACTTGAGTGGGATTGGCGAGCAGTGCCTTGACATTTGAGATCCAAGGATGGTCTTGGATGGATGCATCTAGCTGCTAGCTTGGATGATCTTCGGTGGTCTTAGATGGTCTCAGGTGGTCTTAGATCAAGATGTGCTGTATACATCAAAGGCCCACTATTCAGTACAGATTTTAAGCGCACAAATTGGGTAATCAGATATTACGGCCAGTTCTGGACAAAAGGAAGACAGGAGACTCAAAGACTAAAGATTGAAAGCTGGAAGGTTTAGCATGTTGAACTGTTCCGGCTGTAGTCCTAAACCAAAAAAGACCTCTCAACAGACCACAGACAGTGGTTTTGGCAATTGAGGTCTGATATTTTGGACGAAAGTGACACCTCCGACTGAGCCACTGAACGTCCAATTGGCCAATTTTCAGTTTGAAAGCATATGAAGAATCCTTGAAAACGCTTGATATCTCCTTCAATGTCCATGTTGAACACGTTGATTTTAGGGATCGAAGGCAGTTGACGTATGATGCACAAGTTGAAAGATGATAGATCATTTGATCACTGGCTTCGGTTTGGCTCAAGACTTGGTGAGAGGTGATTTTTTCTAGCGATTCGTTTTGATGGACATGGGGATGGGCCAAGAAAGGGGCGCCAGTGGGCTTACACACTCGGTCATTTTGATTCATTTTGATTCATTTTGATTCATTTTGATTCATTTTGATTCTTTTTTAAATGAAGATTCATACATATTCATACGCTTCCCAGTTCAATTTTGGAGGTGACAGTGATACTTCTGACCCTGACCCACATGATGTGATTTGAGCCAACCGAGTCCAAGTCCAATGATCAGCTGTTTCATGGGGACGCTGGAGGTGGCCTGGGGTCTGGTGACCCCTTGCCTTGCCCAGTTTGGACCCCTCCGGAGCTAAACCCTATGAGGCCAAATTGCCAGAGGCATTGGGTTACAGGTGAAAAAGCTACGAAATGCAAACGCTCAAACATGTTGCACCATTAGATCCATAAAGAGTTTCCTATATTTTCTTGTTTTCTTGTTCGTCCTTTCGTTCGTCCTTTCGTTTGTTTGTTCGTTCGTTTGTTTGTTTCTCGCTTCGCAGCAAAATTACGGCTGGAAAGGACATTGCCTCATCTGTTTCGGCTGCATGTGGGCGTTTTCAAAAGCTCCTGGGTGAAGTTGGGATTGGCTCGATATCTTCAGCCCCTTGACCGTTTGAAAATAGAATGATCCTTGGATGGTTGAATGCCACCAAACCAACAACAACTTGCATCTACCCTCTGGTAATTTTCAGTTGCCATGTTTGACTACCAGAGGGTATTGATGTCACACTTCTGAGCCATGCCCATTAGTGAGCAGAGCTCTGCATGATATTCCGCGCGACCGCGCGACACAGCAGCAGCCGGCATCAATGACCCCTATGGGTACTGCTGGTCTTCGTGTAAAGAAAGCTTCTGTAGCCTCAAATCTTAAAACCCACAGGGATGGAAGTCGAAGATGGAGCAACTCCCACCATTGAACCAAGGTGGATGTGTACAAAACTTTGTAACTATAAAACTCTCTTTGCATCGCTCGCTAGTATATACTGTAAACAAGATCAAACATGTAAATCGTGAAAAACTTGATTCAAAGTGGGGCGAAACATGGACTGGTGTGTCCAATGGGCAGCCTCTAAATCCGATGGTTCATCATTTCTCTTTTCATATCAACCCAGATGGAGGATCCAATCCAAGTGTTGTTGCAAAGGGTCTGTTAATTTAACATAGGCACGGAAAATCCACATCTTGAGGGCTATAAATGTATATATGATATATGATATATGATATATCATATATACATATGATATACACGATATACATATAGTCTATAATAAAACATATATAGTATAAGATTATATAATAAATATATGTATATAATATAATATTATCTATTATGATATAATATTACCTAATATAATATATTATAATATAATATAATGTGATGTGGTATGATAAAATATGATATAATAAAATGTAACATAATATGATATAATATAATATAATATAATACAAAATATTATAGCATAATACAATATATTATAACATAATATAACATAATATAAAATATAGTAAAATATAATAATTATAATACAATACAATATGATATAATATGATATAATACAATATAATAGAATAGAATAGAATAGAATATATATATATATATATATAAATGTTCCGTTTTATGTTCGTCCGTTTTTAGCCGTTTTCCATGTTGATTTAAGGAGGGTTGACATTCCATCACTTGGAGATGAGCTTCACGAGATTGTTCCAAACAATGTGCGGAAAAGACACGTCGCAGGATTATTTTGGTCGCCTACCTAACATGGTGTTTGATGTTGTGGACGTCATACATTTTTGATCATTTTTGAAGGGGTGGTCGCCATGAAACCTCCAAAATCGCCCCTTTTCCATCCTTTTCCAATGATGCTGGTAAGCACCCAGGCCATTTCGGCCCGAAAGTACTTGGATGAACATCAACTGCTGGGCTGGGCCCATAGGCGCGGGAAGGAGAGCACAATAGACCCCAAATGATCAACGATTGGGAATGCGAATCATTTCAAGCCAATGGGACTCAATGATACACTTCACTTGCGGATGGTTTATGGCTTCGGTTAGCTCAACTCAGCTTAGCTGAGCCAGTTGGATAGTCACTTTTTTTCGGCATCCGTGCCAAGAAAGATCACACGGCGCTGCCTTCCTCATAATGATGCCTACAATTAGTAAACACATGTAAAAGATACTAATTAGTTGGATTCTAGCGCTGAACTGGGATATATCTGGATATTCTCCAGTTGCTAGCTGCTATAACCATGTTTTTAGGTTTTTGTTGACTTTTGTTTTAGGGAAAACTTGCAGGAAACCATGGCTTTTGCCATCACAGAAAAAGGTGGTTTCGACACGTTTCCCTGAAGCGACGCACGCAGTTGAGCACAAACCTTTGCCTGCACGATTTATGAAGACACTTTTGGCAAGGGGATGATGTTTGATGAGTTGGGGCAAACAGACAGGTTCCATAGATGTCTTGACCGCAAACAGGATGTGGCCAACCAAGTCCTCTCCACAGGCTGTTTCAAGATTTGATCCACGATCAGCCAGACGATCCGTGGGCCTACATCGACCAACGCGGACAGCTCAGGTTGAGTTTGCTCCTATTTGATCCATAGGATTTTACTCAAAAGGATTGACCTTCAGGTTCCACATATACCCAAGATGTATTTGCATGTATTTGCATTTGTATATTGAAGGTTTATGCCAATTACTGTACTAATCTAAAAAATCCATTGATCTTACTAAAACTACATGACTACTTGGGAAGATCCATGGACGCCCAAGGAACCGGCGAGGCCCGCACGACGGATCTCATCAACAAGGCACGCAAACCGAGAAAAGCGACGTTGAACATGTGGCCCGTTGTAATCCATGGTGGGTAACTACTCGATGCCTATCATTTGGATTATGCGTCAACATTTGGGACCCAGGGGCCTGCAGATTTGAATCTTTTTAAGTGCGAACCATCCAATTTTGACCGCTATACGCTAGTTTGTGTGTGGGTCTTTATGGTTGGCTCAAATTTAACTATTATGACATGGAGGAACATCATGTCGGGGATATTGTGTTTGGTGAGTTTCCCATTGTCCCTAATGTCGTTGGCCAACCTGCGAGGCACAACAGAAGAAAGTGGAAGAGGCCCCGTTTGGGGCGATCCCGATTTGGGCGGACGAAGCAATGTAGATGTGTTTCCAATCAAAAATGGGGATTTGCAAATCATGGAGTGCTTGGGTATGATGTATGGTTGCAAACCCATGAGTTGTGCCTCTATCTTTGGTGAAATGTTCATAGCTTGCCCTGCCAGGCCAACTTGGGTGGTCTTCAGCAGGTGGCTCCAAAATCCCGGGGGCTGGTGGCTGCGTAGTGAGGTTGCGATTTATTTAGCCAAAGAATGGGCCAATCCAATATGGGATCAACTTTAAGCCAAAAAGTGGGATGGTTAGCACCACTAGCATGTTTCCGAAATGTGTGATTTTGCAACAGCTTAGACATTGATGCAAAAAATGTGAGAGCCCCTATGCTGGATGCTCCGACCTGCCGGAACGGGCTTTCCATCAAGCCAAAGCAGGGGGTGCAGCCAAGAGTTGTGGTTTTACGCGTGGTTTTCAGATTGCCCCATCCCTCTCTGAGCAATGCCTAGAAATTGTGCTGGTTGCTGCTTAGATCGATCGATAGATAGATAGATAGATAGGTAGATAGGTAGATAGGTAGATAGGCTGATAGGTAGATAGGTAGACAGGTAGATAGGTAATGATAGGTAGATAGGTAGATAGGTAGATAGATAGAGATAGATAGAGATAGATAGAGATAGATAGAGATAGAGATAGATAGAGATAGATAGAGATAGATAGAGATAGATAGAGATAGATAGAGACAGATTCAGATAGAGATAGATAGAGATAGAAAGAGATAAGCAGAGATAGATAGAGATAGATAGAGATAGATAGAGATAGATAGAGATAGAGATAGAGATAGATATAGATAGAGATAGATAGAGATAGATAGAGAGATAGATAGAGAGAGATAGATAGAGAGAGAGAGAGAGATAGAGAGAGAGAGATAGATAGATAGATAGATAGATAAGATAGATAGATAGATAAATAGATAGATAGATAGACAGACAGACAGACAGACAGATAGATAGATAGATAGATAGATACATATATGTAACCCTCTCTCTCTATATATGTATATATCTGTGTATAGGAAGCCGCTTAGGAGTGAGATTGCATACTTGTACTAATGATTTCCAAGTGGTTTAGTGGGTTTAGTGGTTTTCGTATAAAGCGATATGGATCGATCCGCCTGCTGAGCAGGCTCCTGACCTGCCAGAACTGCCACCAAACTTGGATGACGACGATGGGGTGCTACAGACCGAAGAGGCAGCGCTGGTTGGTGGTTGGTGGTTGCGGATATGATAATCACCAGGTCACAAGTACCTGAGTCAAGGCTGTTGAACTGCCACTATGAGGCATATGAAGTGATGTTTTTGGGCATTAGCTGAGTCCCCTGCGGGATGCTAAGGGATTAGTTTGTCTTGGTAAGACCTGCGCAATGGCTGATGGTTTGGGAAGATGTGTCAAAGTATCAAGGCCAGAAGAATCATATCAATGATGCCACAGGGTGTGCCGGATACAGACCTCCAATTGGGGATGGGGATGGTTCAGGATTTGGGGTTTGTCCTATTAATCCAATCCCTATGTAATATCAAATGCCCTCAATAATTGAATTAGGAAAACACAGATCCAATACTCAAACCAGGGTTTCTAAGGGGGTATTTGATTTTAGGGGAATGGGTGAAATAGAGACAGCTGGTGGTTTCAACACTTTTTCTATGGATGGTGATCCACCAAAGTCGCCATTATATCCCCATGAATCACCAGCTGGTTAAATCACTAGTAACAGCAAAGACAGATGCAGACATGCGTTTTTTTTCCCGCTCAACCAGTGGGATTCTACTTTTCGATGTTTTTGGGGATTACTCGGGTTACTATATATATATATATTATATACTATGGTTAGATAAACTATGGTTATAGATACACTATGGTTATATATATATATATGCTATGGTTATTTATATGGAATCATGTATATATATATACTTATACATATATGTAGATATAGCCACTGGGATGAGCAGCTGTTCGGATAAATCCCTTCTCCAGGAGGTTTTGGACAACATCCGCGTTAAAGCCCACAATGCCTTGATGAAGGCTGCTGAGGCCACCTGTTTTTCTTCAGCATGATTTGAGGCATTAGAAATACAACTTTGATTGGTTATGGTTATGATTTATAGGGGCTTATCTACCGGGGATCGTCTTTTTCGCCAGTTGCGATACCAACAGTGAAGCTACCGTTATGCCAGGACGGCTCCCTGGAGAAGGCTCTAAACCTCGGAGAAAAGTCCCAAAAGCCATCCCTGGAGGAGATCCGCCCCTTGGTCATTAGAGCAAACTGTGATTACCAGAGCTTTGATATGACCATGTGTTTCTACATGTGTTTCTTGGAATCCATATGTCATTCAAATTGGGTATTGAAATAAATATGGTCAATCTTTTGATGGCCACTTTCAGGGATATTTTAGCAAAAAAACAAGAGGCTGGTAATTTGTAGGCTCTAGGCTCTAGACTAGAGCCATCCATCTTGATGGGATGAGGACCTGCCCATGTCGAACACCCACGGATTCGCTAGGGATTTTCTATCCCCTGGTGGGGGCCATCCCCTCTGGTGTTTTCTCCCTGGTTGCGGCACCAAATTTGTGTCGGCGAATGATTTCGAAACCGTTTCCTGTCAAGATAGTTCTCCCCGGCAAAATTCATTTAATATCATGTGTTCATCTTTATTCTCATGGTTATACACACACACATATATATATATATACATACGTATATACACACACACATATATATATATAATTCCCAACTAAATGAGAATTTTGATTCATTTTGCATAGTTAAACCGTCACACATCCCGATTGAATCACCATTTTTCATGGTGAAATCCCATGAATCCCAATCAAATCACATTTTTTTTTGGCTAAGTCCCACTAAGTCCCGATGAATCCCGATGAAATCACAATTTTCGAGTCATAGCCATCCCAGGTCAAAAGGCTGCTCAGCACCTGATGAAAGCAGCTCAAGATGGGAGCCTTGAAAAAGCCTTGGCTGGGAAGGTACGATTTCGCGGGATTTTATCTGCAAAAATGGTGATTTGATGATTAATGGAATTTTCCATGGGTTTGAACCTAATCAGAAATGGGGATTGATATCAGGTTTGAGCATCAAAGATGGTGATTTGATAACCATGAAAAGTTGTGATTTAATGGGATTTAGCCACTAATTTGCTGCTCTTGGCCAATGCTGGGATATTCTGCAATGATCAGTACGCTGCTTTTGGTAAAAGGGCCTGAGAGAGAAGTTATAAGTCATTATATGTCTGTGGTTTGGGCACCAGTTATTCACAGATCCTGCCTGATGTGGGAATTGAGTTGTGGAATCACAGGTGCGGCTGAGTCTGTTAGACCTGGAAAGCAGATCTGATCAAGTACCTTAAAAGCTGGGCTCATCCTTTTTGCTTTTGCTTTTGGATAACCAGAGTCTAACAGCAATCACTTTTGCCATGAAATTGCCATCGGGTATACAGTACATAATTTGACTTGCGTAATGTCAAGCCCGGATTAAACCCTGATTCATTAGGGGGGGTCCTCCCAAGTAGGAACCCCTTAATGGTCTGCTACACCTAGTCTGCTAACCTCACTCCGTCAAAACAACAACCTTGCAGGGCATGAACATGGACGAGATGGATGCCATTCGCCAGGACATGAGCGCCATGTTTTCTCCGCGTTTTGTGGGTGGTTTAGCCTCTGAGACTCTATCCTAGCAGTTGGACATCAAGATATCACCATTGAGGGGTGACTTCCCATTGCCAGGTTTGATTAAGCGATAGATGCCATTCTCTCCAGGGAATGACTGGGTTGTGGATCCGCCAGGAGGCAGCCCAGACCCTGCTGAGAGCTGCAGAGGATGGAAGTTTGGAGGCAGTTTTGAGCAGGAAGACTGGCGATCAGGTGCCACATCCGCCCAGATAGGCTGGTTGAAGGGGGGCACATCCTGAAAGGCGTAATGCAACGCTGGACATCCTTTTGAATCCCATAAGTTGTTTGGCTATACGGCTATACGTCAATTCTTTCAGCGATTGCCAACCATTTAGACAATTGGTTGAAACTAGTACTATACCCCACTCAAAACACAATGAACAACTTATTAAAGCCATGAAATCACCATTAAATCACTATAAAGCTCCATATATTGATGCTTAATCCTATTGCATCCTATTAAATCATCATAAATCACCATCAAATCACCACAAAACGCCATGACATCCCCATCCAAAATGGTGGCTTCTTCATCCCAGACAAGTGCCAGGGCTTGGATGCCTTACGTCAAGAGGCCGCGCAGACCTTGCTGAAGGCTGCGCAGGATGGCACATTGGAGGCGAGGGGGTATCTTAATGGTAATATATATATATCTCCACTTATCTTTACATATGTAAAGCCAATATAAATCACATGGCTTAGAAAATCCTCTCTGTTTATACATATATATAGATCAATATCCATCTATATCTATATCTATATCTATATCCATATCTAATATCTAATATCTATATCTAATAATGTCTATATCTAATAATGTCTATATCTAATAATGTCTATATCTATATATCTAAATATATCTATATATCTATATATCTATATATATCTATATATATATATATCTATATATCTATATATCTAAATATATCTATATATCTAAAAATATCTATATATCTATATATATCTATATATCGAAATATATCTATATATCTATATATCTATATATATATCTATCTATATCTATATATATATCTATATATCTATATTTCTAGATCTGATCTATCTATCCATCTATCCATCTATCCATCTATCCATCTATCCATCTATCCATCTATCCATCTATCTATCTACCTATCTATCTATCCATCTATCCATCTATCCATCTATCCATCTATCCATCTATCCATCTATCCATCTATCCATCCATCTATCCATCTATCGATCTATCTATCTACCTATCTATCTATCTATCTCTCTCTATCTATCTATCATTATCTATCATTATCTATCATTATCTATCATTATCTATCATTATCTATCATTATCTATCATTATCTATCATTATCTATCATTATCTATCATTATCTATCATTATCTGTCATTATCTATCATTATCTATCATTATCTATCATTATCTATCATTATCTATCATTATCTATCATTATCTATCATTATCTATCATTATCTATCATTATCTATCATATCTCCTATCATTATCTATCATTATCTATCATTATCTATCATTATCTATCATTATCTATCATTATCTATCATTATCTATCATTATCTATCATTATCTATCATTATCTATCATTATCTATCATTATCTATCATTATCTATCATTATCTATCATTATCTATCATTATCTATCATTATCTATCATTATCTATCATTATCTATCATTATCTATCATTATCTATCATTATCTATCTATCTATCTAATCTAATCTAATCTAATCTAATCTAATCTAATCTAATCTAATCTAATCTAATCTAATCTAATCTATCTATCTATCTAATCTATCTAATCTATCTAATCTATCTAATCTATCTAATCTATCTAATCTATCTAATCTATCTAATCTATCTAATCTATCTAATCTATCTAATCTATCTAATCTATCTAATCTATCTAATCTATCTAATCTATCTAATCTATCTAATCTATCTAATCTATCTAATCTATCTAATCTATCTAATCTATCTAATCTATCTAATCTATCTAATCTATCTAATCTATCTATCTATCTATCTATCTATCTATCTATCTATCTATCTATCTATCTATCTATCTATCTATCTATTCTACACATATAGAACTAACCCCCAAAAAAGGGTAGAACGTTTCCAGGATGTCGTTGAGATGATTTTTACTTCATATTTCCACTTTTCCTATATACTGTTCAATCTCTTTGGGGGTGCTATATGCTGTATGTGTATATGTATATATGTGTGCGGATGGTTGGTTGGATATAAGTATGGCTATAGTATATAAAGTTATGTATAATCCAGCTTTTGACCAAGACCATGGATGCATACTCACACACACACATGTATATATATACACACCTGGAGTAGATAGAACATGGATTGTCACACAGAATTCACTAAAACGGACTAAAACGGGAATGTTTTTGAAAATCCCATGTTTGATCTAATTCAGTTTTTCCTTCACACACACACATATATATACATATGTATATATGTATATATGTATACATGTAGGCGAACCGGACATCACCATTTTAATAGGTAAATGTTTACTGGAGGGTGACCATCAAACATGATGATTAGATGGTATATTCATAGGGCCACAATGGTCTATAACTACGGCAAGTAATCCCATCCCCCGTTTCTTTATTAAAAAACACCCCTTGAAACCATGGTTTGGTAGGATCCACACATATATTGGATCATAGAATGGTTGTGTTTAATACTAGCGGGATGGGATTACTTAGATGGGCCATGGAGTTTGTGAGTTAACTTTGGTAGGGTTAAGTTACCCATTTCATCTTGAGTTCTCGGGGGTAAATTGCCCATGGCCCATGGCCTAAGGGGTACTTGGAGGATCCAAGGTTTGCCATGGGGCGCCAAGTTTGTCCTGCTGAGCACATCTCCACATATATATATGTATAATATCTATATAATAGTATGTATATATTTGCATATGCTTTTGCCTTTAGAATACCTGCAGAAACACTTGTTTGCGGCGCACACATCATGCTCACAGCCGACAGCAGCTGTCGAGATTGGGAGGCTGTTCTGAAAAAGAAGCCTACCGATCAGGACAAGGGATGCTAGAATCCAACTACTCAAGGTTGGGAAGAATTGTCTTCAAACCCCAGGAGACTTATCTTAGTTGCAGGGGTGGTAATGCTTACCATGTGGCAACCAGCTTACCCGCTGGTAACTAACCATTGATCATGAACCATGACCATGGCGACGTTTCAATGCCAGGGATCTCTGTGAGTCGAGGCCCCAAACCTCTTGAGCTTTGCCAAGGGGCATCGTACCAATGCAGGGCATTCCACCTGCAAAAAAAAGTTGGTGGCTTTAAAGACATCGGATTTTCCAAGCTCCTTTCCTGTTTGACTTGGCATGACGGTGGGCATTCAAGAGTATGTGTGTCAATTGAGCGGAAATCACCAGCTTCCTGACATCATATGAGTAGTGCACATTCGAGATTCGTGGAACGACAGATTCCGGCCAAGATTAATTATTATCATAGTATATCACAGGTACTATATTCTTCACCCACGCGCACAATAAATGTCTTCCCATATTTGTATTGCCTTGGCTCATTATTTCACCCCAACCTCCCAGCGTCCCAGGATGTTGAGAGCATCCGGGCGCAAGCCGCGGCCACCCTACTGAAGGCGGCAGAGGATGGGACGCTGCAGAAGGTGCTGTCAAGTCAAAGCGTGGACCAGGCCGGGAACCAAAGAGTTTTGGATGATTTTTTGGGTGATTTTTTGGGGATAGTTGTGATTTGTTGGTGATTTTTTTGTGTATTTTTTTTGGTAGTGAGTTTTGACGCACCCAAGTCTATACAAAAAAAACTTACATTTGTGGGATAGTTGGGAATCAACTTGAATATTTGTGAGAATTTCGGGATGAATACGAAACTAATACGAACAGGTTTTTAGTTAAAAGTTGTGGGAGTTAAAGAGTACACATTCTGTTTTCGATGGGTACGACATTCTAGAAAAAAAATGTGCTATCTTGGGACATCTGCCCAAAGGATCCAAGATATAGGGGGGCTTTAAGCAGCAAAAATCTGGGGATTGAAGCAGAAGGAGAGGGGAACAGCAGCAAGAAAGATGAGGGATCTTTGGGTCATGAAGTCAGCACAGATTTTAGTTGACAAAGGTACCGGGTATGGGAAAATTCAAGATGAGTTGGGCCCGCAGATGAAGTGGTTCGGAAGCACAATGCACCGATTTGGGGGGGACCATGTGTAACGAATTTTGACCCATGCCCTCATCCGCCTCAAAATGGGAAGAAACGTGGTGGTGAATTTCAAGGTACTGTGTATAGCTCAATGCACGGGATTGAAACTCCAAGAATTTGGGTTGTGACAAACATTTTCCATACGAACACTGTACAGACATAAAAGATGATGGCAAAAAAATCCAAGATTCCGAGTGAACAACTGACAATCTTTTTGGTTGTTGGCCATCAGCACGAGGATGGAATGATGGACATCCATTGGTTCATGGGCATCAAGTCCCAAAATTGTTTGAACAAATTGATTGAAGAGAAGATGTACAGGATCCCCTCAAATGTCGCCGTAGAAATCATGATTTCAAGATATTTCAGGTATAGTAAGCCCCAAGATACAGAACAGTTGGAAATTAGCAGAAATTCCTGGCCAGGACCTGGACCTCTTGCGCAAGGAGGCAGCCCAAACCCTGCTGAAGGCGGCCGAGGACGGATCCCTGGAGGCCGTTTTGAAGAAGAAGGGCACGGATCAGCAGGACTGGAGGGGAAGATGAGGTGGGTACCCCTCTAATTCTGCAATTTTTACGGGAACAATATGGGACAATTATATAGATAATCAAATAACAATCGACTTAATCAACCATTGCATTTTTGAATTAGCCCCCAGAGGGATGGCTACTGAGGAACCAAGGCAAGTCCGGAACGGAATGGAAAAAATATATCCTAAAAAGACGAGGTTTAGTATTGAAGTCATTCATGCAATGAATGGTATGATATGGTATGCAAGATGGTAAAGTGTGGGACAAAAGCAGGCTATGTCTCGACTGGGGTGGGCGCTCCCCCTTTCAAGGTGATCAACTCATTTTCCCTATTAAGTCCGCCATTCCAAAGAAAAGGCCGTGATTGCTTCAGGCAGGGGACGGGAGCCTCCTCCCAGGGAAAGATCGGAAAGATAGGAAAGAGCGGAAAGATCAATTCAAGCAATGCAAGGTTGTATGAATGAGACAGTCATCAATGAAATGACTAAATTGACCAGTAGTTGCAAAACACATTTCCGCAGCCCTTAGTTTTGATCCTTAAAATAAAACACCAAGAACCACACCCCCCAAAGAAACAAGGAAACACAGAAAAAAAACGATGTTGTTTGGGGACAATTTTCTTGGGCATCCCGGCAGGACCTGGACGCCTTGCGCAAGGAAGCTGCACAGACTCTTCTGAAGGCGGCACAGAATGGAACCTTGCAGTCGGTGCTCAGCCAGAAGACTGGGCAGGAGAGGCGGCACAGTGGCGGAACCCGCGCTGGACTTTTTTGGGAGTCAAACCGTTTTGGATGTTGATTTGGACCCAACTGGAAAACATGGGCGTGACAAAACATGAGGGGTTAAGTTATGTTCAGTTCAAGTGATGAAATTAATAGTTGAACATGAACTCATGGTTTTACAACACAATGAGAAGAACAGCGCCAACCGACGCTGCGGAGGACATGGACAAGCTCCGTGAGGATGCCGCCTCATTGCTCCTGCGGGCTGCAGAGGATGGAACCTTAGAAGCGGTGCTGAGCAGCCGGGTGAAGGTGCAGAAGGTGCAGAAGGTGCGAGGTTTCGGATGGAGGTCCAAGTGTGTAGGGATCCATATGGGTTGGGGTAAAAAGGGGTCATTGTACTTCCACAATAAGTGCATGTTGGGGGTATGAACCAGTAAGATATAATAAGATAGGGCTGTTTGAAGGCCACCTTTGACAGGGATTTTCCTGAACAGAATCGTTGGATTTGCCCCGGCAGGATCAGGAGCTTCTACGATCGAAAGCTGCGGGCATCTTACTGAGAGCCGCGGAAGATGGGACGCTGGAGGTGCAAGATCCAGACAGAACTACTCAGTAACTCGAATATCTAGTCGACCAAACCGCTTTTACGGTTCCTCTTCGAGTATATGCACACGCGGATGCGTGTGTGTATATATATATAGAGAGAGAGAGATGTAGAGATAGTTATAGAGATATAGAGGTATAGAGTGGATTTTTGCATTTCAATCCTGCTAGAAGACACCACTTTATTCACTCTTCGGTGGTCCATCGGGGCCAGCTCTGCTACATATCCCCATCGTATCCAAGTTCATTGGTGTAGTTTATGCCCATGCTAGAGAAAATGCATGACAACACCGGACCATCCCTTGTTCTGTTGTAAATAAAGAATTATCTGCAGTAAAGGTTTTGCCTTTTCTATGGGGGGTTTGTCACAAGCCCTTACAAACAAAGACATAAATTTTTGGAGGCCAACACAGGTCAACATTAAAAAAATCTAACTGAGTCCACTGAGTCACGTCCAGGATGTTCTCATGAAGAAGGCCACCATGAAGGACCTGCAGGGAGATTTTGTGCAAGAAATATGGTGGATTTCACAAGCAAACCTATGGTCAATTCAGTGAGTTTACCCACCAAATCTGGTAAAGATGGGGTCTTTTGAATATAAGTTTTGCAGTTGCACAAGTGGTGCTTTGGTGCTTTTACCCTTCAAAAGCGGTGTGTAAACTATGGCCACGAAACATGGGGTCGTCCTTTCAACGTTCATGAGGCTTGTTGCCAGTCCAAGGAGTTGGCTAAAGGCACGGGTCAACAACTCCGCCCCAAAAAAGACATGGCTATTGAAATCCACTAGTTTTTCATCAGCCTTTCATGACTTTGCCATAAAACACATGGCAATTTTGGGGGTCACAGGACCCGGAAGAACTGCGTCACCAAGCGGCTGCGACGCTGCTGAAGGCTGCAGAGTGCCTTGGAAATCTTGGAGGTTGGGACTATCCCCTCCAACTGTTTTGGACTCCTTGGACCGTCAAAAACCGACTTCTGGGCGTCACAGATAGGGTCAACTGAGGAATGGAACCCTTGAGGAAGTGCTGAAGAGCAAGGCTCCGTGCTAAAAGGGCAGTAAAAAAGGAATCTTGATGATATCTGGGTACAGCAAGCCGCAAGCCCCAAAAAGATAGAAATGTAAAAACCCTGCTAAAATAGTGATAGTCATAAATAACTTTGTAGTTTTCAGTGTTGCTATGAATCATAGCAAAAAATCATAGCGACTTGCAACTTGCAACATCCTACAACGACCCCCCTGTTCATCGGCCTGGATGTTGACCCTTACCCCGACCAACGGTACTGCATTTGCTGTCACAAGCACCGTACCTTTGTGTTGGTGTGTTGGTCAAATCCGTAGTCTTTTTCTAACTTCCAATTCATTTCACATCTCCTTGGATATATGTATATATTTTCAGGTGTTATATATATATATATATGTATAATTTAAAAACACATATATTATATACATATTGTGATCATATTATATTACATGTAAAGTATTTTTTTTTGCAAGTTAACCTTCGTGAGATGATAAGTGTTCGATTCGACGGAACATACCTATACATATATATATTGTTTACATATAAGTCTTTTAACATATCTATATCTGAAATGTCTATATCTATATCTAAAAAATCTATATATCTATATATAGAACATCTACATATATCTACATCTAAAATATCTACATGTATTTATATCTATATCTAAAATATCTACATATATCTATATCCAATATACATATATTATATATCTATATCTAATATAGCTATAGCTATATCTAAAATGTCTATATCTATGTCCAACATATCCACATATATCTAAAATATCAACATACACCTCTATCTAATATAGCTATAGCTATATCTAAAATATCTACATATATCTATATCTAAAATATCTACGTATATCTATATCTAAAATTATCTACATATATCTATATCTAATATAGCTATAGCTATATCTAAAATATCTATATCTATATCTAAAATATCTACATATATCTATATCTAACATATCTACATATATCTATATCTAAGATATCTACATATATCTATATCTAATAAAGCTATCTCTATATCTAATACAGCTATAGCTATATCTAAAACATCTACATATAGCTATATCTAAAACATCTACATATACCTATACCTAACATATCTACATGGTCACACGCGGATATTAGCCCTTGGGTTATTTGTTGATTTTGGCATTTCTCCATGTTCAAATTTTGAAACCATTACAGCACTTTGTGTGCTCAGTGAAAATGAAAGTAGCGTTTCGCTGTGGTTTTAGCACACTCATGTTTTATTTGCATTGGTATTTACAGCATTTTTGTTATTTATCATGTGAGGCTCCTGTTCGCCCAAAAGAAGTTTTCTCTCTTGCTCGTTTGCGTGTCCCAAGTTACATGATTTTTTCCCAACTCTTTGGTCAAGTTGGCATGGTTGCCCAAATTGCTTCGCCACACGAAGCCCCAAACACAGGACATTAGCTTTTCAGCAATGCCACCTCGAGGTCTGTCTTTGACGTGGAGAGAAGCAGGCAATGCCTTTTCAAGACTTTGCCACCTACGGTCGACACATTGTGTGCCAGCGGCCACTACCCCAGGTTTTTTCCTGGATTTCCTGGATTTCTTCGTGTCAGAAGTTGGAAGAACATGCTAGAAACGTAGCATCAAGAGCTTGTCAGACGTTCCGAGAACATGTAAGGGGCGTAGCATCAAGAGCGCGTCAGACGTTCCAAGAACATGTTAGAAGCGTAGCATCAAGAGCGTGTCAGACGTTCCAAGAACATGTTAGAAGCGTAGCATCAAGAGCGTGTCAGACGTTCCAAGAACATGTTAGAAGCGTAGCATCAAGAGCGTGTCAGTCGTTCCAAGAACTTGTTAGGAGCCCAGCGTCAAGAGCGTGTCAGACGGTCCAAGAACATGTTAGGAGCGTAGCATCAAGAACGTGTCAGGCGTTCCAGGAACATGTTAGAAGCGTAGCATCAAGAGTGTGTCAGACGTTCCAAGAACATGTTAGAAGAGTAGCATCAAGAGAGCGTCAGAAGTTCCAAGAACATGTTAGAATACAACAAAGAAGCACGCGACAAGAACATTATTACACCCCCCCACCCCCACCCCGAACCCCCCCCAACCCCCCCAGAAATCTTAGAAATGTGCAAAATGTACAAAAACGCCAGGGGCGTTTATCAACGTGCCTCGATCTACATATATCTAATATAGCTATAGCTACTGTATATCTAACATATCTATATCTATATCTAAAGTATCTACATATCTAATATAGCTGTAGCTATATCTAAAGCATCCATATCTAAATCTAAAATATCTACACATATCTAATATAGCTATAGCTATATCTCAAATATCTATGTTTATATCTCAAATATCTACAAGTATCTATAGCTATATCTAAAACATATAAAATATCTATAGCTATATTTCAAATATCTACATATTTCTAATATAGCCATAGGCCATAGCTATATCTAAAATATCTTTGTCTATATCTAAAAAATCTACATATATCTAATATAGCTATAGCTATATCTAAAATATCTAATATAGCTATATCTATATCTCCAATATCTACATATATCTAATATAGCTATAACTATACCTAAAAATATCGATATCTATATCTCAAATTTCACATATATCTAATATAGCTATAGCTATATCTAATATAGCTATATCTAATATAGCTATATCTATGTCCAAAATATCTACATATAGCTAATATAGCTGTAGCTATACCTAAAATATCTACAATATCTATATCCAAATCTAAAATATCTACATATATCTAATATAACTATAGCAAAAATATCTAAAACATCTATATCTATATCCAAAATATCTATATCTAAAATGTTGAAACATCTGCTATGTTGTGGTGAACTCCGGTCGCCAGGCCAAGGGGAACGACCTGGAGGCGATCCGCTTGGAAGCCGCACGCGCCTTGTGTAAGGCCGTGGAGGCGGAGATCCGGGTTGTTTTTTTTAGCTTAATGATGTTGTTGCCAGTATATTTATATGTATATATGCATATATTTATATATGCATGTGCACACATATGAACATATATTTATAGATATATGAACACACACACACATATATATATATGTGTATACGCATACAATCATCCAGAATTATGGAAATGAACAAATGAGGAATTCTGCAGTTCCCTCAAGATGAACAATTCCCGAAAAACAAAAATTACGCGTCGAATCGGGAGTTATTTCCATATTTTCTTTTTTGGGAGATGCCTGGAAACCCCCAACCTGGTATGACAGGGGTTTGTGGAAAAAACAATTGCCAACAGAAAGGTTAGAAACACATATGATAGAGTGATGATCTGGTGTTTATTCAGGGGAGACACTAGCATATCTGATCCATAATTAGCACCTGCGGCCATACACGCCCCGGGCGGGTTTGGAGATGATCGGCAGGTGCCGGGCACCCTCGAAGCTGCTTTGGCCAAAGCCAGGGGCCAGGCTTGGCCGTGGAGTTTGGAAGGTTTCTGGCGATTATGATGAGCACGTTGTTTGGAACGTAGTCACATAGGCATATAATTACATAGGTATGTGGTTATATAGTTATATTTATGTTTGTATAGTTCTACAGTGATTGAGTTATATACAGATATAGTTGTATACTTAAAACAATATATAGTTGTATGCTGCACGAGCAAAAATGCGTTTGTACAATACAGATCCTTCCCCAATCCATCATGAACACTTTTGAACATGAACCTCTGGTTTTGCATTGAAAATCATTGTTTTGCCTGTTTTGCTTGTCACTATATATGTATGTATGTAGGTGTATATATATATATATATACACCTACATTTATTAGGAGGAATGGATTAAATATGATTAAACGGAATTCTGTATGCATATATATAAATAGAGATGCATACATATAGAGATATATACATATATAAATGTATACATATGCTACTTTCTTTGTTGTGTTTGTCCAGTTTTTGAGGCACATGCCTTGTACATTCCTCATCCTCAATCCATGCCCCCCCTGCAGAACGTGCGGGTCCTGTAGTGAATCTCCCAAGGGTACTGGAGGTATTCCAGTTCTCAAGGGCGTTGGTTCAATCTATGAAGCTTCAATGGTCCTAAACCCAAACAAAATGATTTTCCAGAATTAACTTTGAGTACATCTTTTTTGTTGATCAAACTGCTCAAATTCATAGTCATGGGAAAAAACCCGAGCTAACCAGGGTAGCACACATGCAACATTGGCACCCATTCGCCACCCCCTCAGCGAAGATCTGGGTTCAAAGCAGTTCAAGACATGGAGGGGACGCCATGGCGTGCGTTGTGGATGCTGGGCCATCTCGTGAGCCTGGTAAGCTGTGACACGAGCTGCATGCTGCAGCACCGTCATGTTGGACCCACAGGCCTCGGAAGATATGATTGGGGTAGATACATGAAGTTTTTCGGACGACACCTGGGAAAATGGGATGGAAATGGATGGAACATTTACCAGAATGGGTTCAAGTAATTTCTCGAGATCACTTGCTAGCTGTAATAGTCCAAAACATGGTTTCCTTTCCTTATCCATTGACCATTTGATGGGAAAATGTGGGTACTATGTGGGGTATAATAGCCCAACACCTTCGGTTATATAAGCATCATTTTCCTTATTTTTTATGGTCCCCAAATCTCATTCCTTATATAACTAGTCCCATGCTGCCAGGTATCCCATGCACAATCCACCAGCTCGACACTGGGGAGCTCAGCAAGACGTCGAATACCTGGACTTCGATGAATCCTGAGTGCAATCACAAGCTCTGGAATGCCACGCAGGCGCTTGTTGGATTTTTTTGTGTAAAGAAACAGGCGAAACTGGGCTGGCGAAAGCTCCAAACAAACTGGAACTCAGTTGGCCGACTCAATTAGAAATCAATCGAACTACCATGGCTTGGCATTGTTTCCAGGGCCTTTTTTGAAATCCGCCCGCCGGCAAGGTCCAGAAATATGATCATCAATAATGCTAAAGATTGGTAGAACAGTTCTAGACAAATGCTTCAAATCATCAATCAGGTCTTGGATTCACAACACATTATATACCAAGAATTTGATCCCCGATGCCAGCGAAATCACAAGGTTTGCGCTGAATTGCATGTGCCAATGCTGTCGCGCTCACAAAGTTTGTCCCCCGGCTTCAAAACTCCTGTGATTCGTAGGAAGCACAGACATAGCAGCAATGAATCGTGGTTCGCCTGCATTTTTGCTCCCCAGGTGGAAACCTTGGTGCGGGAGCAATCTCCGGATCTCATTTGGCCCATCTGGGACTCGCTGTCCGTGGAGGAACGTGGCGACGTCTTTCGGTACTTGGTGATCTGGCACCAAGGAGGCCAGGAGATACCGATGATGGGGTTGGAAGTAAGGGTGATTGAATTTCTGTGTTGGTTTGTGAGCATCTAAGTTGTTAGACGCGATTGGCCTTGTGTCTCTCCGGCCGCTTCCATTGTGTCTTGCGCCTTCCCCCCATTTTCAGCGTTCCCCGCCGCAGACGAGGGTGGTCACTTACCTCTGCAGGTTGGTGGGCGGACAGTGACGTGGCGTGTTTGAAGCCTATCGCCGACTTCCCCGTGCCGTCCAATGTGCCTCAGCTTGGGCCAAAGCCAGGGTCAAGGGCGGCGGTGACATCACTGGCGAGACCAAACTGGTGGTAGGGAAATTTTTCTAAAGTTGCAATGATGATAAACGAGAAATGGGCAACCCTTTGGTGTAATTTGTGATGCAGGAAGGTAATGGGCTCTGCAGCTCACACCAGTTGCCTACTTGGTGCATGCTCCGCTGAGGCAACCATGATTGTGGGTTATGAGTTTGGGCATCGCTGGTCTGAGAAGCAAAGGCAAGAAGTAAACTTCGCTCGGACGGAGCAGTTTGCCAAGCACCCTGGGCTGAGGTTTTGACCTCGAGGGAGTTTGTGTGGATGGGTTCTTGGGCCGTGAAACGGGTAGTGAGAAATCACAGTATCTTGATGTATCTTGTATGGCCCCCGTGAGTGTACAGTATATCAACACTGAGTTATATCAGTCGTATATAATATATATACATCTACATGAATCAATTGATGATGAACCATAAGTATCATGGGTACATCGTCTTCGAAGCTCGGGTTTCCCTGAAAATCATCAATTTCTTGGGCCGACAGAAATCGCCGCAGACACATTGCTTCCCAGATTCCGAAAATTGGATGAGGGGAAAACGCACAGGAAATTAGGAAAATCAAATCCCAACTTTTTGATGGGTCAAGGTCTGGCTTTCCTGCAGATTTTCCCTAGAAAAAAACGGTCATTTCTTCGACCCAGGTATTTCTTCGCTGCCGCACCGCGCAACCCCGTACTGTTGCGCTGCTTGCGGATGGTGCGGCAACGCTTCTCGTGGAAGATCTTGCAGACCTCGGATTTCACGGGCTCGGCGCTCTTCAGCGATGCTGTGAATGAGTTCCTGGAGTCAGACGAGTCCTTGAATAAGGAGATCTTCCGGGAAATCCAGAGTGGAACCCAAAGTTATTTGATGTAATTACTTTGATTACTTTACGAGGGTAACACAAGTGTGTGCAATATATATATATACACAGTATACATGCACACACTATAATATACATACTCATATTAATATGAATGCATGTCATAAATAGATAGATAATATATTATATAAGTTAAATTCATAAATCATCATAATTATACGTGTGCATATGCATATACGTATACATATGCATGTACATGTACATATACATATACATATGCAAATAAATGAAAATAACAACAATAGTAATGATATGTAAAAACTCCTGCAGTAAAACCATGTATTGTATATATCATCGATCTACCCGATAGCGTTGGTTCAAAAAGAGCTGAGAGCTTAGCGGTTTGTAGTGCATTTTACCCCATTGTCGGTTGACCTGGTAAAATACAGGTTATCAGCCGTAGTCTCACTACTTTGCTATGGGGACCCCAATTGACCATCCTCTCGCCGTTCCAGGGTCAGGTCCATCGGCTGTCGCTGTGCCTAATATGGCCGGGGGCAACCCCGAGCCGATGGATGACGAAACAATGTTCCAACCCGTTGTTGCGTACTTTACCTTCATACAAAACAACCTGTCCCAGATTACTAGTGGGAATACCCTGCAAGTCATGAGGGAAGCTGAACAGAGGCACCTTCAGATAATGCATGGAGTAGTTGACTCAATTCGAAACGAATGGTCAAGTAGACTCGTAATGCAGGAGCAGGAGTATGAGCAAAGGCTGCAGGAGGTTGAAGGTAATGCCATTAGTGCCCTCAACGAGGAGAGGAAACGAGGCGACGAGATGGAGGTCAGGTTGAATCAGGCTCAGGCATCGCATGACAAAAGAATAGAGGATGTAAAGGCAGAGGCAAACACAAAGCATGATCAGAAAATTGCAGAGGAAAGAAAACGTATCACTAGTGAATTCGAAGCTTCCTATGCACAGACAGTTGAACATGCAAAGAATGCCATAGCTGCCACAAAGAAGCAATATGAAGATCAGGCTGCAATTGATCAGGCCAGGTTCATCAGTTTGAGGACTGAGTTTGAGAACTACAAGAAGGAGATGGCCGACAAGATCAACGAGGCAGCGGCTCAGAACCTTAGCCTTCAGGACCAAATCGATGATCTTCAGGAGCAGTTAAAGCATGTTGCCAAAGCGCAGCATGCCTCCGTTCCGAAAGCATCCGTCCAGAACGCCGAGCCGGCCGCTACCACTAGCGTGCCCCACTTCAATATTGCCACTCCCAAAGCATCCGATGCACAGGCTGCCAAAGGCAGTGATGAGCCGATTCTTGAGTTTAAGACGCCTGCAGTGTTGGCGCAGGAAGCAAAGGCCAAGTTGGATGAGCTGCTCAAAGGTGGCAGTCCCAAGCAAAAGCCGGCTGTCGGCAACGACCAGCCCCAATTGCCAACGCAGTCAGGGTTTTTCACTCCCACTGAAGCTATCAAAACTCCCCCAAATGAATCTCCTAAGAGCGCAACCAAGCAACAGCAAGTATGGGTCCCTCAGATCTTATTGAATTGGTGAAAGCCTTAACCCAAAGGGAAGAAAAGGATAAGCCAAAAACTAAGGAGGCTGAACTCATCAAGCTGAACAACATGCCCGCTCCGGAGTCATATAGAACTTGGAAGAATCATGTCAGGGATGAAGTGAAAAGCTGTTCAGATCGCCCGGATGAGGCGTGGCTCTGGCTTAACGAGGTGTACGATCAAGAGTGCACCAGAGAGCAGTTGGAGAAGAAACTCCAAGATCCTGGAAAGTTCCTCACGCTGGATACAAAGTTATCAGCAGCGCTCACGCGCTCAGCCGGAGGGGACCTCGCAACTAGGATCTTGAATTTCAAGGAGCAGCAATCCCGAAAAGGCATCCAGGTCAGGGGAAGATATGTTCTGCTTATGTTTGAGGACTACTTCAAGACATCAGAAGAAGCAGGTAGCCTTTACAGAGTAGAAGATCTTTTGGGTGTTGTCAAAGTAGGCGATACTGTCCAGGATCTCCGAAGATTCATCAACAAATGGGATGCTACCCTAGCTGGCATGGCGGTCACCCCTGATGATGCTGTGTTAAGGGACATCTTGTTGAGGCAGATCCGACCAAGTCAGCTGCTGAAATATGACATCGAGGTGTTTGACCGTGCTCATGAGAAATCCCATGAAAAGTCTTACAGTTTTCTTCACCAATCCATGAAGAACTTGATCGATCGTGAACGATTGAGGGAGAACAGGAACCGCATTGCGGAGAAGAACAAGGCTGGGATTAAGGACACAAAGGCCGCACCCGCCAAAGGCGATGGTCGCGGCGGCCGAAAGGGCTCTCCAAGTCGCGGTAGATCGCAGGAACGAGGTGGCAAAGGTGACAAGATTTGCTATAAGTTCCAAAAGGGTACCTGTGATAAGGGGAAGAAGTGTCCATTCAAGCATGTCAAAGATGATAAATCTCGAACTCAATCACCCAGAAGAACCAAAACACGTTCACCATCAAGGGGCAATAAGGATGATAAGGGGAAGAAGATGTCTAAAGAAGAAATGGCTAAAACCCCATGCATCTATCATGCCCAGGGAAAGTGCAGACGTGGTGACAAATGTTTTTATAAACATGATGACAAAGCCGCTGCCGCCACCAAAGACACCAAAAGGGCCAATTCACCCGCTCCCAAGAAGAAGGGCAAGGATTCCACAGCCGCTCCATGTCTGATCCAGAAGTTTGCATGCATCGTCCGAAAACAGCCGAAGGCAACTTCGTGCTCTGATGAGGCAAGTGTCAGCATGAAGCGTCTTAGATTCCGAAAGGCCCCACATGTGATCGAGGTGAAGGCAGTCGGTCGTCAAGTCCCAGTCAAGCACCGTCCAAGAGAGTTCACTAAGGTGTACAAGACAGCTGAAGATGTTCCAGTTTCATCAAAGGTTGAACAGCATGAAGCTCAGGTTCGTGCAAGACAGCTCCAAGAAACTGTGAAACTTCATGATTCAGATGTTGCACCAAGTTGTGGGTTTTGTTGTTGGGATGAGGACACACGTGACATCACATGCAAAGAGTGCAGGTTCATCAGCGGTCCCAAAGCCCTTAGAGACATTGGTCGTTTCCCGTCAATTGCCACAGCTGCGCCAAAGGCCGGTGTTAGTTGGCTTGTCGACTCAGGTAGTGAATCCGATCTTGTGTCCAAAGGAATGCTGAGGGATGTAAGTGCCAAGAACTGCCGTGCAGCCGAGCATCCGATTTCCTTAGTCACAGCCAACGGTTCGACTGAGGCAAACGAAGTTGCTGATGTCAAGTTGTCCGCATTGCCAGATCCCGTGCATCCGTATGTGCTTGATCATACCCCAGCTGTGCTCTCTGTAGGAACGAGATGTGTAGATCAGGGTTACAGTTTCGTATGGCCTGCCAATGGCAAACCAATCCTAGTCCGTCCAGATGACAAGGTTGTCCAGCTCAAGATCGAAGGTCATGTCCCAATCTTGGATGATAGTTGCAAGGTTTATCCCAAAGATCAATTTCAAAAGGATAAGCACCTCAAAAAGTTGTTTGCAATGCCGACCTCACGGTCGAGCTCAAAAGCCAAGTGGGACGAAGCCCAAGATGAAGAGCAGTTGGATGAACTGGTGGAGGATGACGCTCAGCAGGAGTACATCCGAAGCCGAAAGACTGAGGATCTGTTGGCTGAAGCTGCAAGTACCCAACATCAGTACACGCATTTCCCCAAGAACCCCTTTTGCAGAACCTGCCAACGAGCAAGGATGATGGCACCTCAGGCATGAAAGAAGGGTGGTCAGAAGAGAATCGAAACTGAAGTGTTTGGTGACCACATCATTGGGGATCATGTTATCATCAAGAAAAATGTAGAAGAGGGTTTCAGGGGGGAGCAAGTTGCGTTGGTGTTGAAAGATCTGCACACCCAATATCGGTATGTCTACCCTAGCCAGTCCAAGGACTCACAAAGCTGTGTTGATGGTTTGAATCACTTCATTGGATCAAAGGATGATGTTCAAGTTGTGTACACTGACAATTCCCCAGAATTGATCAGGGCCATCAAGGATTTGGGTTACAGACACCAAACTTCCATTGAATACGTAGATTCATCAAAGTCTTTTGCTGAGCGCGAAGTTCGTCAGATGTTGGAAGGTGCCCGGAGCAACTTGTTGCAATCAGGACTTCCTTTGAAGATGTGGCCATTAGCCATGCAGCATCATGCGACCGCGATCAATGCAAGCCCCCAGCTTGACGGCAGTGATTCCCCATGGCAACTCAGGTTTGGTGAAGAGTTCCCTGCTATGCACATTCCATTTGGTGCCAAAGTGTTGTTCTGGAATAACCCCAAGAGGTTGGATAACACATCAGGTAAACTCTCCCCAACAGCAAATGAAGGAATTTTCCTTGGGTATTACATCCAACCAGGTCATGATTGGAAGGGTGAATACTTAGTTGCCAAGTTGGAAGCCGCGGATTATCATGTCAACTGGGGTGCACTGACAATCCAAAGAACAAAGAGGTTGGAATTGCCATCCGAGGGTTTCATCTTTCCTTTGAAAGCTCTGATCGACTCGAAAGCACCCAAAGCCGATCGCCTCGAGGACCAGGTCATTCCGCAGACACCCAAAGCTGTGCCTCTGGAGTCCAGTTTGCATCCACCGCAAGATGAGTATGAATACGAGCCAGGTACGCCTCTACCAGCCGACAGCGATGTCGAGCCTGATGCACCCGAAGCGCCCGTATTTCCAGATCTCAAATTGACCCCCAAAGGTGAAATTATTCCAGATGGACATCATTGGGATGGTCACCGGATTGTACGTAACTACAAAGGTTCAAAGCGTCCGGAGGGGATTGACTCAGAACTGTGGAAGATGTTAGGACCCCAAGATAGGAAACTGATCATCGAGGAAGAAGCAAAGAAAGCAGCCAAGGAGCAGGAGGAAAAGCCAGCATCATCATCTGGCAGCAAGGGCAAAAAGAAGAAATCTTCACCGG